GCGCCCCCACATCTTCTTTATCCATTCATCCATTGATGGACATTTGGGCTCTTCTTATACTTTGGCTATTGTTGATAGTGCTGCTCTAAACATGGGGGTGCATGTTTCCCTTCAAAACAGCACACTTGTATCTTGTGGATAAATACCCAGTAGTGCAATTGCTGGGTCGTAGGGTAGTTCTAGTTTTAATTTTTTGAGGAACCTCCATACTGTTTTCCAGAGTGGCTGCACCAGTTTACATTCCCACCAGCAGGGCAAAAGAGATCCTCTTTCTCCACATCCTTGCTAACATGCATGGTTGCCTGAGTTGTTAATGTTAGCCATTCTGACAGGTGTGAGGTGGTATCTCATTGTGCTTTTGATTTGTATTTCCCTGATGATGAGTGATGTGGAGCATTTTTGCATGTGTTGGTTGGCCATCTGGAGGTCTTCTTTGGAGAAGTGTCTATTCATGTCTTCTGCCCGTTTCTTCACTGTATTATTTGTTTTTTGGGTGTTGAGTTTGATAAGTTCTTTATAGATTTTGTATGCTAACCCTTGATCTGATATGTCGTTTGCAAGTATCTTCTCCCATTCTGTCGGTTGCCTTTTAGTTTTGCTGTTTTGCTGTTTCCTTCACTGTGCAGAAGCTTTTTATTTTGATGAGGTCCCAATAGTTCATTTTTACCGATTCTCTCTTAAGAGAAGAAACACAATGTCACTCTGACCCGAAAATCTCTAATTCTTAGGATGCAAGGCATTGATAGAACCCAGATTGCAGCTTTGAGTCTGATGGCTCTAAAGGCGTTCCTGGATTGCTCCATGGGGATGAGGCTCTCAGAATAAGATATATATACATTTAAGGCTGAACCCCCATTTCCACCCTTGTGTTTTTTTTTTCTCCTTAAATCTGCTACTCCTTAAGTCTCCCTGTGTCCCTGTACTCTATCAGGCCAATCCGACACATCAGTATCTGAGTTTTTCAAGCCGACGGTTTATAGTTACTAAAAAACAAACAAATCAAGTTTGTAAAGAAGAAGGGATATTTACATGTAGTAAACATGGACTCCTGCCCTTTTTATATACTGCATCCAAAAAAAAAAAAAATGACAAAAAGTCACTGTAATTTATATTTAGATAATTAATAAGTGATTATATTACTCTTATATTCACTGTGTATAAATGTAAATGACAGTGTGTCTCTTAGATGCTTTGCATACTAGAGAAAAAAAGTGGTCCTTGATAAAATGTAATATATGATCACACAAATTTGAGTACTATTTAAGCAAATTAGCCATGACAACTCAAACTTAAGCAACATAGTATTTATTACCTTTACTAACCAGGAAAAATGCATGAACCCCCTAAACAATGTAGCATTTAAAAAAATTCATATTTACTTCCAACTATTCCATAGCTACTAACATTGTGGGTGCTTTTAAAAGTCAAAAACAATGAACTGTCTAAAAATATTCTGAATAGCAGTAATATTACGTTGTGAATTTTATTTTCAAATTTTGGTCAATAAAGAACAGTCAGGTTAAGCAATCAAAAGAAGTATGAATAAAAGACATTCATATACACCAAAGATATGAATAGGACAGATTCACTTCCAGTTGATTCAATTGTACATACACTTTTAACATATAAAATACATCTTAATTAGTCAAGAAACAGACCACATTTAGCACCAGGAAAGGAACTTTACTCTAGCGTTGTTTTTTTTTTTTTTAATGTTTATTTATTTATTTTGAGAGAGAGACAGAGTGCGAGCAGGGGAAGCCCAGAGAGAAAGGGAGAGAAAATCTCCACGCTAATAGCGCAGAGCCCAATGCAGGGCTTGATCACATGAACTGTGAGATCATGACCTGAGCCCAAATCAAGAGTCAGACGCTTAACCAACTGAGCCACCCAGGCACCCCTTAACTTTAGCTTTTGATCACGACCTCAATATCTTGTCATAGAAAAAGAAATTTCATGGGAACTATATGTATTTATCACTGTAATTAATAAAAAATTAAAAAAGTAACTGTCGCATTATCAATACGTGAGTGATTCAGTGATTCCAGTCCTGAAAACTGGAACTACTTGATATTGCGCACAACTCTCCTACAGTGGTTTGTTTTCATCTCCTCCAATGCTTGTTCCAATTGCTGAACCAAATGGAGCAGAGTGGCTGGGTCTGTCTGCAGAACTTTGGTGTTGTGATCTCCATTCTGATTAAGGTGTAGCTTTATAGTCACTGATGGTTTTATCTGTTGCCTGAGGCTTCTGCTTGCAAGCTTCATTTTAAATGGAGTAAGAGAATAATTATCATGCTGAACATATAATATTTATAATTACCTTATATCATATACAAAAGTCAAATTTCATATAAATCATAGACTTCAAAATGAAAAATGAACTTTAAAACCTTTGGAAAAGAAAAAAGGCATGACAATGTATATGCAACCTTGCCCGGCAGAAGGATTTCTTAAACATGATATAAAAGGCACAAACCACAAAGAAAAAACCTGATAAGCTGAAATACATTTAAATTATTAACACTTTCTTTCAAGAATACCTAAAGGTGGTGGAAAAACAATCCACAAACTGATAAGATATTTTATGACACATAGAACCCCCTCCCCCAACAAAAGATCAGTATTCAGAATGCATGAAATTTAATCAGAATGTTCTGATTAAAAACAACAAACCCCATTAAGACCAAGAAAAATGTGCAGAAGACCTAAGTAAGCAATTCACAAAAGAAGTAACACAAATAGATAAACATAGGAAAACATGTTCAACTTTTTATTAGTAATTAGGAAAATGGCAATGAAAACATAACATACTATTTTACACACATCAGACTGGCAAGAATTAAAAACCTGCCCATGTGGGGCACTGCAAGTGATAGGAATGGGAACTCTCATCCACTGCTGATCAGAGTGGTAAGAGAATAACTTTGGAAAACAATATAATAGTACCATCAATTCCACTCCTAGGTATATACCTTGAATTCTTACATATATACGTATATTCACAATAGTATTTGTTTCCAAGAGTCAAAAATTAGAAACATTTCAAATACTATTTAACAACAGAATGAGTGTATTGAGAATATTCCTAAAAATAAAATGCTTACTAAATGTCAATGAAAAGAAACAAACTATAGCAATATAAATTGTCATGGATAATTCGAAAAAGAAAATGTTCAATCAGAAAAGCAAGTTGCAGGGGCGCCTGGGTGGCGCAGTCGGTTAAGCGTCCGACTTCAGCCAGGTCACGATCTCGCGGTCCATGAGTTCGAGCCCCGCGTCAGGCTCTGGGCTGATGGCTCAGAGCCTGGAGCCTGTTTCCGATTCTGTGTCTCCCTCTTTCTCTGCCCCTCCCCCGTTCATGCTCTGTCTCTCTCTGTCCCAAAAAAATAAATAAAAACGTTGGAAAAAAAAAATTAAAAAAAAAAAAAAGAAAAGCAAGTTGCAGAAGAATACATAAAAACTAAAGTTTAATGAAAAAATGTGTTAAACTAATTGTTGTACCATATGCTAACTAATTTGGATGTAAATTAAAAAAAATTTAAAAAAGATAAAGTACTCACTTGCCAAATGGGGAAAAAAACCCAAAAACTATAAAGAAAGGATTAACATCAAATTCAGGAAAATGGTTACCTCAGGGAAGTGTGAGGGGTTGTAACTGTGGTAGGTCACAGATGGTTTCATTGTATTTCTTTCTTTTTTTTTTTTAAATTTTTTTTTCAACGTTTTTATTTATTTTTGGGACAGAGAGAGACAGAGCATGAACGGAGGAGGGGCAGAGAGAGAGGGAGACACAGAATCGGAAACAGGCTCCAGGCTCCGAGCCATCAGCCCAGAGCCTGACGCGGGGCTCGAACTCACGGACCGCGAGATCGTGACCTGGCTGAAGCCGGACGCTTAACCGACTGCGCCACCCAGGCGCCCCTCAGGCGCCCCTCATTGTATTTCTTTAAAAAAAATTTTTTTTTAATTATTTATTTTTGAGAAAGAGAGACACAGAGTGCGAGTGGGGGAGGGGCAGTGAGAGAGGGAGACAGAATCTGAAGCAGGCTCCAGGCTCTGGGCTGTCAGCAAAGAGCCTGACGCAGGGCTCGAACTCATGAACATCAAGATCATGACCTGAGCTTAAGTCAGATGTTTAACCAACTGAGCCACTCAGGTGCCCCTCAGTGTATTTCTTAAGCTTGGCAATGGGTACTTGTTTTACTATTATTCTTTTTTTTTTTTTTAACGTTTATTTATTTTTGAGACAGAGAGACAGAGCATGAATGGGGGAGGGTCAGAGAGAGGGAGACACAGAATCTGAAACAGGCTCCAGGCTCTGAGCTGTCAGCACAGAGCCTGACGCGGGGCTCGAACCCACAGACCGCGAGATCATGGCCTGAGCCGAAGTTGGCCGCCCAACCGACTGAGCCACCCAGGCGCCCCTACTATTATTCTTTAAACTGAGTATCTATAATCTTTATTTGTATGATATATTCTGAATTTTTTTAAAAAGTACTATTGACATATTTTTAAAAGAAAAAAAAAGGAAACTACTAGAAACAATGGCTAACTTGAAAGCGAAGGCATTTAGCTCTAGCACCAACTGTTCTCTAAAGACCATTCTTCCTTAAAAGGAGCCAGGAGCTCCTTAAAGGAGTAACTGATTAGAGGTCTGGGATAAGAACTGTGAAAGATTGAGCCTGAGACATCTTGCTATACAGGAAAGCAAGATTGTTACCTAAAATTATTGGAGTCACGTCAAAAGGACAAGAAGCCCAATTGAAGAGACTTCCGAGTGAGCAAAAATCTAACCCTGAGATTTCAGGATTAATTTATACCGCAACACAGAATATTCTGACTAATAACTTCTTCCAATTAATTCTAGGTGATCTGGCTTCCAAAAGAACCCACGATACTGAAATTTAATGTCTAAAAATAATTTGGAAACAACAGGTCAATCCCCTAGAGTTAGCCAGTTCCCAAAATAATACAGATACATATAAGTTAAAGTGTCTCTTTAAGATCATTTCTCCAGTACAGAAAATTATAGATATGAAAGATAGGTAAACTATAAATATGATGACTGAAAATACTACTTATTGATTCACTTACACATTGTTTATACTTCTTTTTCCTCTATGTCTGCATTGATAGACAGGGACCAAATGTATCTAGGTGTATAAACCATAAATTTTTCATCCAAAGCCTCAATCTATCCTCAAACTTTTACACAACATATCTAAATTAATATCCTTTACAAATAAGCATCTATATCATTCTTTAAAATTTCCAGATGAAGGTTATACAACATCCCTAACAAACACCTAGTAAGACATATTTAGACCTAATTTTTTTCTCAGAAATGAATTTCAAGGACAGTACTACAGGATAAAGAACAGTAGCCCACAAGGTTCCTGATTAGAACTTATGTTCTGTCCTTCTCTTTGTAAAAATAACAAAAGCAATTTAAATGGATCAGTCCTAAAGGTAAATCGTCCCTCACCAATCTCAGATGCATTCAATTTACTTATGTTATTAAGTGCATTAATTGTGCTGGCAATTTATGAAGGGAAATGTTTCTACTAGAAACTAAACTATGATGATTAATGTATTTCTCATAAGCAACTGCACAATTAGATGGTAATTGTCCATTCACTACCAGTGTCCATGAGACAAATCAGTTACTCAAAAACGAAACGTCCTGTAACTTGTCACTAGTTTCCTAGCAATTCAGCTGATCTTCATCTGACAAGTCTTCCTCCTATAAAGAAGAATCTACTCCAATTAAAATCCCTTGTAATAATTTTGACTAATGAGCTCAGAAAATCTATTAGTTCTCTAAGTAGCTTTTTTACCCCTTAAACGCATTTTACCACATGAAGCAATATTCATTCAGTATACACTCAACTTTAAACTATATTAGTTCTTGCAGTAACACACTATTCAAACCCATTGCACTGGGTAAATGAGCTCTCCCAAGTTTTAGAAAATTCAATTGCTTGTTTCTAATTTCTAAAAATGTCTTCATAATGGAAAAACTCAATGCAAATCGATAAAGCCAAAAAAATAACTTCTATGGGCTACCAGAACCCAAAAGTCAGAAATTACCCACACCCAAGAGAGAGCTAAAGATTTACAAGATAAATTACTACTGAATCTCATAAACATGACCATCTCACATCTCCTCCACCTGGTTATTATGAAAGGACCTAAACATAGAAGCTTGGCCACAGTGATCTCCTCCTTCCCACAGCCCCACAGGATTTGCTGCTTATGTCTCCTAGAGCACGAACTGTGTCTGATTCTTTAAATCCACAATACCTAACACATGATAACTGCACAAGAAATATTTGATAAATAATTTAAGAAGCTACTTACCCTCCCCCACCTTTTTTTATATTCAGCACTGAATGCCTATTATGTACCAGGCATTGTGCTGGGGACACAGTACTGAACAAGACACAGTACCTGCCCTCATAGAGCCTACAATCTGGTTTATGCCATACCCTGTGTTTATACCTATTCAAGCACTCATTACACTGGATTATAACTGCTAAACCCTCTACATGAATTTCTGTATCCTGTTTGGACCATCTTACCACCATTCAAATCAGGAAGAATCCACTATAACAGTAATTTACAAACTTTATTGCAAATTAGAATTACCTGGCTAACAAGCGGAACTCTAAAAAATTCTGATGCTCGGACCAAACCCCATAACAATAAAGCAGAATCTCTGGGGGCGGAACATAGATACGAAAATATTTTAAGACTATCCATGCCTTTCCAATATGCAGTCAAGTTTGGGAACTAGTGTGCAACCTATTCAAAGCTCATTCCCTTATGCTTATGCTGCCTCCTCTTCCAAGAACATTAACCCTGGTTTTCTCTATTTATTGACCCTTCTGAAATTTTACCTCCTTTTGTTGAAGCTTTCCTGGATTCTGCAAGCATCCACTGAACGACCTAAGCTATGTTTGTGAAGTACAGTACATAGCTGTAACTTTATGTCTACAACTATATTCCCCCCCTCCAGTAACTTATAACTATCTGTAATTACTAGTTATTTTGAGAACACCTAATATCCCTGAGTATATAACATCTTTTCCAATTGAGAAAATGTCTCATACTTCTTTTGTGTACCAATGCATTTGGCACAGCTCTAATCAGCAAACGATGACATTCAATAAACATCTATTAGCTGTCACTGCTTGATAAAGGGCTACATACAATAGTCTGAGAACTCCCTTTTGGTTATCAATGTGGCTTTGCAAATGACTGAATCTTACAAACGTAGTGTAAAAGCAGCCAGACACAATATTTACTGAATCATTTCATATATAGAAAGTTAAAGAACAAGTAAAGTAATCTATGTATTTGAAGTCAGGGTGCTCGTTAACCTTTGGAAAGGAAAGAAGGAGAACTGGTAAGAAGCAAAGAGGATGCTTTTGGGGTGCCTGTCATGGGCAAGTCTTGGTTTTATGGGTGTTTTTACCATGTGATAATTCACTGAGCTATACAATGACGTATGCACTTTAATCCATGTATGTTTTGCTTAGGCATAAAAGTTCTTAAAAATCAAATACCACTTTAAAAATTTACATGACCATCTCCTTACCAAAAGAACCTATTTGTTACAAACTTTGCAAGTGAAACTGATGTAAACACATTAAGCATATCAGAAAATGAACTATTTGTAAAATGGTCTCAGAATAAACATTAAAAAAATAAAGTTTCAAACCAAAGTTCAGTTAAGGTGGTAAAGAATACAATAAGCCTGAGGACATAGAACCAAAATTAATCTTATAGTTTGTCAGGTGGGGGAAACCATACCTGTACATCTAGTCTCCATTCAAGGCTGTGGTAAGTGGGAAGGTCTGGTGCCAATTCACTCAGAATAGTTCTGATCTCTTTTCTGTTGTCTAGATAAAGCTGAAGCAATAATTTGTTCAATTCTTCAGAGAATCCCAGAACAAAAACAGAATCTTGGAAATCCAGTTCAGAAATCTGAAAGTGAATCAAGTTTAACAGAACATCAAATTTATGATTGTCTAGAAATGCTAAAATATTTGATATACACAAAAGAATATGATATCTCCTAATTCTTTTCTGCCTGGTAAAAGAAACTACATCCTTTACAGAGATAACTCTTACCCACTATTTTGAAGTCTGAGTTTCTGATACATAAAAATACTTGTATTAAAGCATAAAAAGTATTAAAATGCCCAGTTTCTCAGGGTGCCTGGGGGCTCAGTCGGTTGGGCCTCTGACTTCAGGTCAGGTCATGATCTCACAGCTCGTGGGTTTGAGCCCCATGTTGGGCTCTGTGCTGACAGCTCAGAGCCTGGAGCCTGCTTCCGATTCTGTGTCTCCCTCTCTGCCCCTTCCCCCACTCGTGCTCTGTCTCTGTCTCTCAAAAATAAATAAACGTTAAAAAAATTTTTTTTTAAATTCCCAGTTTCTCTCCTATTCTCCGTCAAGTCAGATACTGCTAATATGCAAAAAAATAAATCATTTATTCCTCCCCCTTCCTAGGATACCCACTATTGTATATGGCTTAATAACATGCAGGATTAGAGAGAATTCTAATTTATACTAGCAAGAGGCTTTCATACCAGCAGATCACATTACAGCCATATTGTTTAGGCATGGCTTCACTAAATCAATTATAAACCATTAACAACATTACTGAAATAAGCAGGTGCCTGCCAGGGCTATGAGGCTATGATGCAGAGTATACTGGAGCTTTTTAAGGTTGAAGAAATACAAACACTCCACAGAAGCCCTTACCATAAGCTTTGAGCTTTCAGTGAGGAGGTATGTTAATCCTTCCACACCATGCTGGACAGTGTCACTGCTCACATTTAGTTTTCCTGGGAAAAAAGAAAAAAAAAGCAAATAAATTATTGTGTGATATTTATCCTTTTACTCAAATTCTTATTTAGGAATAAATATTATCCATTATTCCATATTTGCAAACACTACGATGAAAAATAATGACTTAGTAATAGACTCCTATTCATTCTCCACTGCTGGACAAATGCTTTGGGTATTTGCCGCTGTGTAACCTTCTTTTCAAAATGCAGACCCGTGGAGACAGACTAGCATCAGGCATACAGTCCTTAGTCCTTCTCTTGAATGTCCAGCTACTTCAAGTCTGGCATAAGTGGAATTCAAGGGCTGACAATCTCAGAAACTACACTGTCCGGCAGGGAAAAAACAATACTGCAGCAAAAGCGGATATCTGAAGTAATTATAACCAAACACTTGCATGATATTAATGGCTCACCCAACTATTTCACACGCTTTGGTGCATTTAAGCATCATAGTATCTCTGGCAGATGGTAGTATGTCCATTTTACGGATGACAACACCGACTTAATAGAAGCTTTAAAAATCTCAAAGCTACTTAGGGGATGGGGGATCTGCGTCCTGAAGAGCCTTTCTGCTTTTATTCTACCACAATGAGAACTAGACCATTGGAGCTGCAAAAACCCCTATCTCTCCAGGGTGCCAAAGAATGGCCCGCACTTCCCCGCGAAGTGCCCCTCCCAGGCTTACTGGCGGCGCCTTCGTAGATCTTGGGGTTCGAGCCTCGCCTCAGGAATTCCACCGCAATCCGCCCAAACTCGGCGACCACTGCAAGGGAAACCAGGAGACCGTGAGCGCCGGGCACACCCCTTGTTCCCCTCCCCAGACCACAGAACACCACCCTCCGCGGCCGCGTCCCCTGACCCGTGCTGTCCACTTGCGGCAGAAAGGCCAGGTGCTCTTTATGCTCCTCCGAAAGGTCCAGCAGCATCTTCCCAAGTCAGAGGACTTTACTCGGCAGTGTTGACCCCGCCCTCGCCACTTCCGGGGCCAGCGTCCAAACGCAAAGAAGCTCCGGCTTCTCCACATCCCCAGCTTTGGGTTCCGGCCTGAGTCCTACACTCGAACGCCCGCCGATGGTGTATTCAGAGGTTGGAAGATTCTTCCGCTAGCAAATCGTTTTGAAAAGACGTAGCCTGGTGGATGCGCGGTGCCATGCTCCGTGGAAGATGAAACGACGTTTAAAATCCTGCACGCCCCCATGTGGAGCCTACATGAATAATATCAATAGCTAACATGTATTAAGCACTGTATCAGGAAATGTTCTTACATGTGTTTACTTATTTAGGGTTGAGAAGAATTCTATGAGGTAGGTACAATTATTGTTCCCATGAGGGATAAGGAAACAGAGAAAGGTCAAGCGACTGAAACTAACTTTTATAGAGCTATTAGTTTGCACAGAGTTTTTGTATATGTTATCTTATTTGATTGATCTTATTTAATTCGCTCAAGAGCTATGACCTCGTTTTTACAGATGACGAATCAAAGCTCCAAAGATCACATAATAAGCCAGAGACACAGCTGGAAGGAGAGGGTCAGATCCCTTGACGACCTGCTCCAAAGCCCATCATTCTACACAGCAGGCTGAAACCTGAAGGTTTGTAACAATTTCTAGGAGTGATTATGAATTAAGATAAAGATGATGATGACAAGGGGTGCCTGGGTGGGTCAGTTGGTTGAAGACTCTGACTCTCGTGTTTGGTTCGGGTCAGGATCTCACGGTGTGTGGGTTTGACCCCAGCATTGGGCTCTGTGCTGATAGCGCGAGGAGCCTGCTTTAGGGATTCTGTCTCCATCTCTCTCTGCCCCTCCCCTGCTTGTGTGCTCTCTCTTTCTCTTTGTCTCTCAAAAATAAATAAATAAACATTAAAAAAAAAAAAGATGATGATGACAACAATGACTGCTGCTTGCAGAGTTCAGAACAATATTTTTATCTTTATGTGTTGAGACAGTGTGAAAATTTGGGTCTTTTCCCAGCGTTTTCTTCTCACCTGCTGTGGTTCAAATATCGGAGACTATGGAATTGCCAATTGATAGGAACAGGACTTTCCAAATCTCACCCCCCTTGGTGGGGAAGTTGGTGGGGGGAAAGAGAAGAGGGAGTAGAGAGAGATTTCATATCTATTGTTATATGTAGGGATTGAGATAATTCTCTCTATACTATCTCCTGGGCAGAAATGAAAATTGGAAGTTGTTTTAGCTCTGTTTGCTGTGTGTACCTTGTCCTTCACGTTGAAATTGTTTCCTCCACAGAAAGGAGGGGCACAGAAAGGAATGTCTTTAAATTTGTCAGTTAGGTCTTGAAGCAGCATTTGCAGAGAGAGCACAATATTTTCTTAGACTGTAAGTTGGAGATCAGCAAAAATAGCATCGTTTCCTGAAGAAGCTTTTATTCCTAATTGAGAAAATGTCTATTATTTAAGAATAGTTTTCAGAAAAAAGTAAAATCATGATTTTTTGACAAATATATAATGGACACATGTCAAAGATTGTAGTGAATCCATGGGTTAATGAGGGGATCATTGCAGTAGGAACCAGTTTCAGCTGGCACAAAGGAGATACTTCAAGAATCATACCTTCATGGGGAATAAGAAATGCCTAAATGAATCTACAAGTAGATATAATACTATGCCAATATGATATAGCCTTTCTTCCCTGTGATCTCAGGGACTAAAAATGCGGGTGGCGGGGGTGAAGGTGGTGAATAGAAGTAACTGAATGGAGTGGCCAAAGAAAGTGGTCAAGAAGCCAAGTTATAGCTGGGGGGAAACAGCCTGGGAGTTAGAACTCCCTGGGATAATTTACAGAGCAACGTTTTTTTTGTTTGTTTTTAAAAAAATTTTTGTAAATGTTTATTTATTTTTGAGACAGGAGCAGCAGAGCATGAGCGGGGGAGGGGCAGAGAGAGAGGGAGACACAGAATCAGAAGCAGACTCCAGGTCCTGTGCTGTTAGTACAGAGCCTGATGTGGGGCTGGAACTCACAAGCTGTGAGATCATGACTTGAGCTGAAGTCAGACACTCAACCAACTGAGCCACCCAGGCACCCCCAGAGCAATGTTTTATTACTAAATGTCATATCATAGTTTAGAGGAAATTACCTGAATGAAAAATCTGAAGTCTAGATTCCAGATCTGGCTTTCACACTTCCTATAAGGCCTCCAACAAGTTGTTTTTAAATGTTATAAACTTAGCCTCTTGATTTTTTTTTTTTTTTTTTTTTTGAGAGAGAAAGAGAGCCAGAGAGTGTGCATGCAAACAGTGGAGGGGCAGAGGAAGAGGGAGAGAGAGGAGTTTAGGCAGGCTCCATGCTCAGTACGAAGCCCAACATAGGGCGTGATTCCACAAGCTGGGGCTCAATCCCACAACTCCGGAATCCTGACTTGAGCCAAAATCAAGAGTCAGACGCTCAACCGACTGAGCCACCCAGGTGCCCCATTATATTGTATTGACTTCACTTGATTGTCTCCTTTACTTTAGTGTCATCTCCACGGGTGTTTTAATGATGATTGCCCTTCTGTGCCATACAGGGCTGTTATCATGCTTAAATGAATTAATAAGTTCACGTTAAGGAATTGATTTTTAAATATTTATTTATTTTGAGAGAGAGCGATGGAAAGCAAGCTGGGAGGGGCAGAGAGAGAGGGAGACAGAATCCCACGCAGGCTCTGCACCATCAGCACAGAGCCCAGTGCAGGGCACAAACTCACGAACAGTGAGACTGTGACCTGGGCCAAAATCAAGAGTTGGACACTTAACCAACTGAGCTACCCAGGAACCCCAAGAAATTTATTTTAATGATCAAATTAAACAATGAATTAATGTTAAACAACTGAAAGATTTGCAAACTGGAGCATTTCTATTTTATAGAAGATTTTATGTGCCCAAATCTTTGAGAATTCTGTGTGCATAGTCATCCTAAAATCCATTCATTTGATGCAACAAATGTTTGTTGAGCAATTACTCAAAGGTGCAAGCATATGCTATGCCTTGGCAGTTTGGAGGTGAACAAAACAATGTCTTTCCCTCTGCACGATGACAATAAATTGAGGGGGACAATTAGGTGAAGTCAATATGAGTATGATGAGCTAATACTTGATGTTTGAACAAAATGATTTGGAACCCCACAGAGAAGGTAGCAGCTTCTACTGATTAACTGATTAACTCTGATTCCAATAAGATTCAGGCTAAGTGTCCCAGGGTATGCCTATACATGCTAATACTCATGCTTTACAACTGTATTACATTGTAAGTACGTAAGGTCTTAAAGTCACTTCGTGCCATTTTACTTCTGGGGCTAAAGTGAAGAAAGTATACTCAGTATTTTTTCATTTGATTTTGGCAGGGAAAAAGGGTTCATATCAATTGTCCTCTCGCATGCTTTCCTTATTTTTCTATTTCCCTCCACCTCATCCACTTTCCTTTTCCTTGAGATATCCCCACATTCCTTTTTCCTTCTCAGACATCCCAGCCCCAGAATCTTTGCACCAGAATTTCCTTGGCTGTGTTTCAATGTTATGTAAAATATTATCATCCTCTGCAAGGAATTGCAGTTCGGTTCAGCATACATACTGTCAAGAGGATAAGAGCCTGGTCATACCCATCACTCACATGGATTGCCCTCTCATGGGTCTGAATCTGGCGCAAAATGCATGAATTAGTTCCTTTGATTTTTTAAAAATTATTTTAGTTCACCTTTTCAATTGGATTATAAAATAGGTACATAAAATGGAAAAGATAAAAAATACTTTTTGTTGAATTTTCTCATATTGAACACACCTAGTTACCCAGTGTTACCAGTGCCCCAGAACCTGGGTCCTCTTCCAGTTACTATCTATCCCTTCTTGTCTCTACAATGAACTAGCACCTATACACATGCTGCCTTATATCTATTTGGCATCATCTTTGTATTTTCTTTTACATTAATCCTCTATGTGGCCCAACTCCAAATATCTAATTTGAAACTTAAAGGTATTTTTAAAAAATGAACTTTAGGGGGGCGCCTGGGTGGCTCAGTCAGTTAAGCGTCCGACTTTAGCTCAGGTCATGATCTCACAGTCCGTGAGTTCGAGCCCCGCATCAGGCTCTGTGCTGACAGCTCAGAGCCTGGAGACTGCTTCGGATTCTGTGTCTCCCTCTCTCTCTGCCCCTCCCCTGCTCATGATCTGTCTCTCTCTGTCTCAAAAATAAATAAAAACATTAAAAATTTAAAAAGAAAATTTTAACAAGAGTTTTACACCAAAAACTAAAAAAAAAAAAAAATGATGAAAGAAATAGAGGAAGATATAAATAAATGGTGACATATACCATGGATAGAGAAATACATCATGGGTTGCAAGATTCGATATTATTAAGATATCACTTGTGCCCTATCAAAATCCTAACAGGTTTTTTTTTTAATAGAGAATGACAAGTTTATTTAAAAATCTATATGGAAAGGGGCACATGGGTGGCTCAGTCAGTTGAGCGTCCAACTTCGGCTCAGGTCATGATCTTGCAGTCTGTGGGTTTCAGCCCCATGTTGGGCTCTGTGCTGACAACTCGGAGCCTGGAGTCTGCTTCCAATTCTGTGCCCCCCCCCCATTCCCCGCCCCTTCCCCACTCATGCTCTTTCTCGCTCTGTATCTCTTTAGAGACATTTATTTTAATAAATAAATGTTAAAAAAATAAAAAAAAACTATATGGAAATGAAAGGAAACAAACCTGGAAAGCCAAACTAAGAAAACAAACTAAGTTTGTTAGTTGTTGGAAACAAACTAAGAAAAGCCAAAACAAACTTGGAAAAAGAAGAACAAAGCTGGAATAGTCATACTACCTGATTTCAAAGCCCACTATAAAACTATAGTAATTAAGACAGTGTGGTATAGTATAATTATAAGTAAGTAGATCAATGGAACAAAAGTCTGGAAATAGATCCATAAGTATTATAAACTGATATTTGACAAAGATACCAAGATAATTCAATGAGAGAAAAGATGGTTTTTTCAACAACTGGTGCTACAGCAATTTGATAAACAGGGGGAAAAAATGAATCCTGATGCTCACGTCATATTACACACACAAACGTAATTCAAGATGGACTATAGACCTGACGTAAAAACTAAAACTTTGAAACCTCTACAAGAAAACATACGAGAATATCTTCACAACTTTGAGATAGGCAGAGGATTCTTAAAGAGAAAATGGAAGACGTTAACCATAAAAGAAAAAAAATGATAAATTGTACTTCATCAAAGTTAAAAACTTTCATTCGTCAAAAGGCACCATTAATAAAATGAAAAAGTGAGCCACAGCCTGTGAAAAAATATTTGCAATACATAGATCTGTATGTATTTGTATCATACAGAGAATTTGTATCATGAGTATGTAAAAATCTCCAATAAACTAATAATTAAAAGACAACCCAGGGGCGCCTGGGTGGCGCAGTTGGTTAAGCGTCCGACTTCAGCCAGGTCACGATCTCGCGGTCCGTGAGTTCGAGCCCCGCGTAAGGCTCTGGGCTGATGGCTCGGAACCTGGAGCCTGTTTCCGATTCTGTGTCTCCCTCTCTCTCTGCCCCTCCCCCGTTCATGCTCTGTCTCTCTCTGTCCCAAAAATAAATAAAAACATTGAAAAAAAAAAAAAAGACAACCCAATATTTCGGATGGGCAAAACTCTTGAGTTGATACTTCACAAAAGATATACAAATGACCAATAAGCACATGAAAAAGCCTGCAGTATCATTAGTCATCAAGGAAATGTACATTAATACCATAATGAAATGTCATTTCAAATCCACTAGAATAACAAAATCAAAAACACTGATGACACCAAATTTTGACAAGTATGTGAAACAATCAGAACATTTGTACATTGTTAATGGGAGTATAAAATCATAAAACCACTTTGGAGAACTGTTATGCAATTTCTTATAATGTTAAATATACATTTATCCAATATATTATCCAATAATTCCACTCCTAGGTATTTGCCGAAGAAAAATGAAAGCTTATGTCCAGGAAAAGACCTTTACAATAATATTCATAGTAATTTTATTCACAATAACACAGAACTATAGGCAACCCAAATACACATACAGCTGAACAGATAAATTATGGTGTATCCATACAATGGAATATACTAGGTAATAAAGAAAAGTCAAAGAAAGATCTGAATGAAGTAGAGATATTGGAGTTATTAGACCTGGACTCCAAAATAACTATGAATAATATGTCCAAAACATTGGATGACAGATGAAAATTTTAATCAGAGAAGTAAAAACTGTAAAAAAAAAAAAAAAGAAACAAATTAGAACACAAATATACAATAGAAAGAATTAAAAGGAATAGTTCACTGTAAAAACTAAACTATTAAAATTGATAAAAACCATTTATGTTTAATAACAATAAGTCATCAGCAAGACTCTTTATGACAAAAAGAAAAGTAGAGAAAGCAAAAGTTACCAATACCAGGAATGAAAAAGAATATCACTACAGAGAGAGAGAAAAGAATATGCTGTTGATACATGCAACAGCATAAATATTACACGGAGCAACAAAAGCAAACAGAAGTGACCAATCGTATGATTTCTTTGACTAGAAAACTTTATGCATGGGTACAGAAATCAGAGAAGTGGATGCCTATAGGGGATTAGGATGGACTTAGTTATAGGAACTTGGAGAGACTTTCTGGGGAAATGGAAGTATTTGCATCTTGACTGGGGTAGTGGTTATATTGATGTATATATTTGTCAGAGCCATAGAATCTTATGTTTAAGATTTGTGCAATTCACTGTGTGTATCAATTTAAAAAAATTAATGGAAAGCAATGTTTTAGCAGAAGTTCAAAAGATATCTAAGACCAGAACTTGACTTTTGTAGGAGGATGTTTGTAACCATCCTACTTTTAAAATGAATTTATTTTTATTATGTTCTACATTAATATGGTTTTAAAAAAAAAAGCATTAAAAATAAACCCAGGAAAACAAAAAAAGAGAAACTGTAAAAGTTCTCACCCCCATTCTTTGTTCCCATCCTTCCAGTTTTCCTACTCTGTAAGGCGACTACTACCTTCCATTTCTTATAGATTCTTTCTCAAATTATGCAAAACACATGCCTGGAATGTTCACTGCCAGTGATGGAATTCAAGAAAACCTGGTGTTAGATATTAACTATCCTGTTGATAGTTGTGTAGCATTAGAACTATTATTAGAACTTATAGCATTAATTACTTGAAATGTTAACATTAGAACTGAAGGTTCTGTTTGATCAGGTCTTTGCCCAAACTGAGGTTGTCATGACTCTTCAAAGCACAATTTCTGGAGGATTTTCACATGCTGTCAGGCCTCCTTGTGTGGTCAGGTTAGAAATGCTCTTTTTGGCTAGAACTCTTGCTATTCCTAACTGCTGAAGCCATCGTTTCTCTTTAAAGGCACTGCAAGAAAACAAGACCAAAAAAAAAAATTGTAAGGAAGTCCAATCTTGTCCCTGTTTGTTGCTGAAATGATAGAAGTCTTAAGGTTCATTTTGTAACTGTGGCTAGTTTATCTTCTCACACAGATAGGTTATAAAATAGAAAGTTGGAATCTTTCTGAAACTGGTTCCTTGTGAAGCAGTGGAAGTGTTATTTTCCCAAGCAATACTAGAAATTTAGCACTCACACCTAGAATCAGAAAAACCAATCAATGTCATACAGAATTCTCTAGCTTGAACCTTTTTCTGTATCCCCAGGCATACTTATATAGATGATATATTCTCTGGTGTCTCCCTTCTCTTCCTTTTCCTCCACAACAGAAACATGTTATTTTTCATTGATAAGATATTAAATAGCCTTGGGGAGCCTGGGTGGGCTCAGTCAGTTAAGTGTCAGACTCTTGATTTTGGCTCAGGTCATGATCTCAGTGTCAAGGGTTCAGTCCTGTATCAGGCTCCGCGCTGAGTGTGCAGTCTGCTTAAGATTCTCTCTCTCTCCCTCTGCCTCTCTCCCCTGCTTGTACACTCTCTCTAAAATAAAAAAGAAAAATGCTTTTAATTCAAAAAATGATATTAAATAGGCTTTAACTGAAATGCAGTGAAATTTAATGTTTTATAGTAGCTATTCCTTGACTATATGCTAATAAGGACTTGTAGATTTGAATATCATTACTCCTACTTTGTAGGATATAAATGTGATTTACTTTATTTTTTTTAAGTTTACTTATCTATTTTGAGAAAGACAGACATAGTGCAAGTGGGGGAGGGGCAGCAAGAGAGGGAGACAGAAAATCCTAAGCAGGCTCCGCACCTCAGCATGGAGCTGGACATGGGGCTTGAACCCACAAAAACATGAGATCGTGACCTGAGCTGAAACCAAGAGTCACATACTTAACCAACTGAGCCACCCAGGCATCCCAAATGTGATTTACTTTAGAGGGGTCCTCTGAGGTTCTGTCCTTTTTGTCTTCCTCTCTCTCTGCACCCTCATCCTGGGAGGCCTTATTTACCAATTGCTTCAACTCACATATCCATGACTCCTAAATCCTGACTGACACTTCCAATTTCCATGTCTTTTATCTTCTTTCTAAACCTGCCCCCTTCAGTATCCTTGCTCTAATAACACAGTGACTTTGCTATCTCCTCACCATGTCTAACTCTAGAAATAAAACTCAATTCCTCCTTCTCTCTCTACTTCTACATCTAATTAGCAATCAAAGTTTGCAGATTGTTCCTCAGAAGTATCTGTATCTGTCATATTTGGCTTCTCTCCTCTTCCCTACTATTTCTGCTCTAGTCCAGGTCTTTATCATTCTTTGCTTCCTTTATTGAAGCCTCCTAACTCTACTGTAGGCCTTCCACAGCTTCAATAAGACTTCTTCCCAGTGACTCTAACACACATCTCCACCAGATACATCTTCCAGAATAAACACAAACTGATTATGTGACTTGTCTGATTAAAAAAAAAAAAAAAAAAAAAAGAACTTCCGTGATCTTCCTACCTACTTCCTAACAAGAAGCGCACTCTCCACTTGGGCACCCAAGACGCTTCTCCATGCAGATGCAGTCTACCTTGCTAGTTTCATCTTCAGCCGGTTTCTCCCTGTCCCCTAAAATGCCTTTTGCAGATCTGCTGACTTCTTTGAAAACTAAATTTCTCTCTTACCCTTTCATAAAGCAGTGCCCTTGACCATGTTGGCACCTGTACCTGGCTCCTTTTCTTTACCACCACCCTTTTTGTCTGGCAAAGTTCTTGAAATTTAAAGGGCTTCCACCAATTCTATCAGAAGCAATCTTGCATAAGATTACCTTAGTATTTCAAGTATTTGAACTCCATCCAAGTTTGCCTCATCCATCATTAATGTTCTGGATTAACTCCTTGCTTTACCTTTGCATGTTTGCATTCTGCCTAGCACTTCACTGGGACATAATAAGCACTTAAGAATGTTTTAAAAGCGCATCTTTTGATTTCTAATGTACATCTATTGATAAAACTAATCAGTGCTTCCTTTCTTATGTTTACAGCATGATTTTAAGATAACTATATAATTTTTTTTAACGTTTTTATTTATTTTTGAGACAGAGAGAGGCAGAGCATGAACGGGGGAGGGTCAGAGAAAGAGGGAGACACAGAATCGGAAGCAGGCTCCAGGCTCTGGGCCATCATCAGCCCAGAGCCCGATGTGGGGCTCGAACTCACGGACCATAAGATCGTGACCTGAGCTGAAGTCGGACGCTTAACTAACTGACTGAGCCACCCAGGTGCCCCAACTATATAATTTTTTAATGTTTATTTATTTTGAGAGAGAGAGTGCTCTTGCGCATATGCATGCACAGAGGAGGAGCAGAGAGAGAAGGAGAGAGAATCCCAAGCAGACTCCTCACTGTCAACAAAGAGCCCAACGTGGGGCTTGAGCTCACCAACCACGAGTTCATGACCCAAGCCGAAATCAAGAGTCTGATGCTTACCCAATTGAGCCACCCAGGCACCCCAATGTTTTTAATTAATAATTTTCTTGGGTATTTTTCTAGAATTTTAGATTATCTCTTATACATTCTAGTCAGAGATAGCTCATGAATTATGAAAATTAAAGTTGTTAAGCAGTTAGTTTAATTGTGCTGTTCCAAATTTTGCCAGTTTTATAGCCCAATTACTCTGACCACTAGGTGGCAACAGCTTAGCTGAAATAAAGTAGAGTGGAAATAAAAACAAATACTGAAAGGCAACTGAAACAATCTAGCCTTGTTTTTTTTTTCTTTCCTTTTCATTATATTGAGTAAGGGGGAAAACCACTCATAAATCTATATTCTACTGTAATATTAGAACGCAAAAAAAAACCACATAAGTAATGGATGGGACCTGAGATCTGATCAGAGTTGTGTTTTCAGTGAAATCTGATGACCAATATGTCAAATTTTATCTTATGAAATGAATGTGCCTGAAAAGTCCACTCCTGATACACTGGTTTTTGTCTTTAAATGTGACAATGGATTACTTTTTAAGCTGACCTTAAATATTAATGTCAACTCTATCACCCTGTCCAATATAGATCTTTCCCAACCAATATATCTTGCCCAGTAAGTCAGCTGAAGTCTTTATGGTTCAGTCTGTTATTCACTTGTTCCTTTCTTTCCTTCCACTTTCATTACCATCCAGTCTTCCATGACACTTTTGATGTGTCTCTCCCCCATTTCAAGTCTCTCCCTTCTCCCTTTAATTATTAACAATTTCTTATTAGTTAAAAAAAGAGTCAAGGGGCCTTGTTATTTTTATTTTATTTTTAGAGAGAAAGAACATGTGAGTGGGGGATGGGATAGAGGGAAGGAGAGAGAGAGAGAATGAGAGAGAGAGACAGAGAGAGAGACACAGAGAGAGAGAGAGACAGAGAGAGAACCTCAAGCAGGCTCCATGCTTAGGGCGGAGCCCAATGCAGGGCTCACTCCCTGGGATCATGACCTGAGACAAAATTAAGAGTTGGACACTCAACCAACGGAGCCACCCAGGTGCCTCAGACCTTGTTATTTGATACAACTCTTTCTGCTGTCTCTTTTCTTTCTGAAAGCCTGAGGAGTAAAATGATTTTTACTACACAGATACTACACAGATTGGATTGGCCAGTAAAATCAGTTCATTTTGTCCTAGACACAAGGCTAAGATGAGGTCCTTGAAGCTGGATACTGATGCATTCGTACAACCTGTATTACATTATATGGCATGGTAGGACTTCATGGACCACTTCCTGCCCTAGAGCGGCCCTATTAAAGGTTTGTCCTTATGTATTTAAAGAGAAAACATTACCTGGCCACGGCTAAGCAGTAGATGGCATTCTCCCTTGGAGTCCTACCACTGTGCTCTGAGAAGCACGCAAAGGACGATTTGAGTAAAAAGTCAGCACTGGGTGTTGCATAGTAAAAAGATGGGTGTGAATAGCCCACTCTTGAAACTGGAGGGAGGGGGATTTGAGGGAGATATGTATTTTTTATGAACTTTTCTTTTTTCTTAGCTGCAGCAGTAATTTTTTTCTGATTTTGTTGTTGCTGTCTTTGTAATTTAAAGAACGTATTTGCATCTACAGGTGGAGGTAATTTCAAGGTTTGTCGTCTTGTGATCTGCTGTGAAATTGCCAAAGGATTGACAGGTTTCTTGCTTGCAGTTTCTTCCTTGAGAGGTGGTAGCTTACTCACAGTGCTTTGTGAGTCCTTGTTCTGAGCCTTATGCCAGCCCTTGGAGGTCATTTGTGGTGTGGTGAAACCATCCACTATCACAGTGTCTCCAACTTTTGCCCCAAGGACCCTTGCGCCGCAAAGCTGGCTTTTATTAAGGTTGTGACTCTGAGTTTTGAGGACCCATTGTTTTATTTTAATATAAATCCTCATGGGAACTGATATTTTCGGAAAAGAAACCGTGGACCACATTTTGCTCAATAAATACAATACACAGTCTTTATGCTTGTGTTTAAATGCGATGGTCAGGGGGATTTGCCCCGCTGCGTTTTTACATTCCAGGCACAGCACGCTGCAGTTGACAAAGGCCTTCAGAATCAACAGTTGGCCCGCTTCTGCAGCTGCATGAATGGGGCATTTAGAGACATCTGCATGAAGGGCTTCATGGCACCATGCTCGATAGGGGTGAACACCAACAGCCTCATCGGGCCGCACGCCCTGCTTCAGGGCCCATTCAGTGAGCTCGATGTACCCATAGAAGGCAGCGATGAACAGGGCTACCTTTTTCTGATACCTGAATGAATGAAACAAGTGGGAGTGAGTGTTTAGTAAGTCAGCAAACTGATAATGTAGTTACAAAACATACTAGTTAAGGTATTTATTTCTTCTTAACTTTTACATAGAATGTTCTCAGGAAAGGTGTATGGTAATATATAGCTTGAACTGCACAGATCCTGCTTGTATAGATTATCCCATTATGCACAGGCAAATAATTCAAAGTGGGCTCCTTGGAGTGGTTTTCTTTTTTATGAAACTCAAAGTCCCAGTGAAAACAGTAACCTTTATGTTAATTGGGAAAGTACTGGAAGAAATCCAGCACATTTTAGAAATACGGATTTCTATGTTTGTTTTGTCTTTTCTACCATCAGCCCTTATTTTCTGGCTTCTCAAAGTCTCTACTGCTATTCAGATCTAAACCACTATGTTGCACTCCCACCAGCACCAGTGCCATAGTCTCCTAACTGTCTCCCACCTCCTTGTATTTCCCTACGGGCTTTTCCTCACACAGCGCTCAGTGACCTTTTTATTCCCGAAACGGGAGATAGTTTATCCTCTGTTCCGAACCTTCCAATAGCATCCCATTGCAATTGAAATCCTAACTCCTCACCTTGACCTACAAGGCCTCTTACAATCAGGCCCCTGCCCCGCTCTCCTGCCCCACTTTCCACAACCCCCTTTCCTGTCACTGTCCTAGAGCCACACTGGCCTTCCTACTATCCCTCCAATACCCCATAAAGCGTAAGTCGAATGACTGGTGGGGGCTGTTCAGAGAAATAAGAATTAGGGAGGCAAACCTAGACAGAGTCCACTAAGTATTGTCCAGGATATACTTGGGCAGGGCTATCGGACCCCATTATAGAGATGGAGGCAAGCTTGCCTGGCATCATCCAAAACCACCTACATCCAAAACCAACTGACCCTCCTGTCTCTGATTACATGCTCACCACACCATCTTTTGATGTGTATGCGGCTTCCTGTATAATTTTCCTGTACGAGGAGATGACCTTCTCAGAACATGTGGGTCTCCAGGACCCACAGTTAGATTATAACTAATTAGAGTTATGCCTTAATACAGTGGCATTTTGGTTCACACATCGTTTTTTTTCCCCAAAATTCATTAGTGCAAATCAGCATCTGTGAATGTGATCAGTTTTCTTATTTTGGGGAGAAGAGTCCCTCTTGGATGGACTAACTGGCCTTCATATTGTTACCTAGACTAACTGATTCTATCTTCTAAATGTATCTTTTCATAGTCGAGTTTTCTTAGCCACACCTCTGCTGTCATAAGCTTCGTTCAGGCCACTGTTACCTCTTGACTATCTCCCTGTCCCCTGCCTGCCTCTATTCCTCACACTGCAACCAGAGCAATGTTCTAAAATGCAGGTCTCATCATGGCTTTTCTCTACCTTCAATGTCTCACCAGCACTTAAAAGATAAAGCCCAAGTTCCTTCACATTCCTACAGGTGCCTGCAAGAGCTGGCCTCTCCTTATCCTTCTAGCCTCCAGCCACTAGCTCCCTCTCACTTCATGACCTACCATGTGGAACTTGTTTCAGTTCTTTGAAGCTATTCTCTTGCCCCCTGGGACTTTGTTCATGTGGCTCCATCAATTTTGGAATATCTTTTTTTTTTTTTCCTCCCTTCCATTTGCCTAAGTATCAGCCCTTCAGACCTCAGTTGCCTTTCTCAGGATGCTTTACCTGATCCCCTAAGTCTAGTTAGTTGCCCACTGTATACATTCCCAATCCAATATCATGGATCATGACTGTATCCATGCCATGACACTTTCATACTGAATGGTGACAGCAACAGCACGTAGCAATTATGTCCCGCTTTCCATGTGCCAACCAGCCCTCTAAATTCCGATGATTTAGTCACACAATCTCTGAAACAGTTCTGTGAGACAGATGCAATTATTACTCCCTTTTCCTCAAGGAAGAAACAAGTACAGGATGACTGTATAACTTGCCCAAGTTTACACACTAAACACTTGGGGAGTAGGGCTATGAACCTAGGCAGAAGGGCCTTGGAGTTTGTGTCCCTAATCATTTTGCAATTCTGCTTCTCCAGGAATTGGTGACTTGTTTCTTGGAAGGCAGTTATGCTCACCACTATACCACCAACGCACACTGTTACTTGTTTTTTTGTTTCCTTTACTGGATTGTAAGGTTGAAGGCAGGGACCGTATCTTGTTTATTGGTATATTCCTAGGATCATGTGTGGTATATGCTCAATAGATAATTGCTGATTGGGTGACAGAATAAAAGGAGCTTTTTAGCCTGATCATGTATATTCTCTGAGCTGATAGGTCTTTTTTTCTCTTTTTCCCCTCCTCTCCTGTGTGCCTTTGTCTATCCGGTTCCTGTGTGTGTGTGTGTGTGTGTGTGTGTGTGTGTGTGTGTGTGTGTGTTTCAGCATGATGAGAACTACAGATAGTGTGGGCAGGGAGATTGCAGTCTGGGAACCCATCACCAGAGCCAATAAGGCCTGGAACTGAGTGAGCCTGTGGGCCCAGCTGGGTCAGCTGAGCCATGTGCATGGGTGTACATTGGGGGCAGGGTCTAAAGCAGGCACACAGCCACACCCCCCACTGCTCACCCTCCTCAGATTTTACTTAAGGATTAAGTCAAGTGGAATGGTTAAGCATCTGAGCATTAGAATTAAATTGTTAGGATTCGGTATCTAGTTGTGCCCTGGCTAGCTGTGTGACATTGGTGATAAAAGAGTATCTACCTCATAAAATTGTTCTAAGTATAAAATTAGGTAATACATGTAACACGGTGTCTTGTTACAAAGTACTCAATAAATATGCACTATTAAAGTAACAATGCAATACAGCATTTCTTCAGATTTAGAACATGAAAAAAGGGAAGTATCACTATCTCTGAATAGAAATTAATTCAGAATATTGAATATTATATACAATCGCAGAAGCTGTTTTCTATTCTGTCACTTCTTAGAGCCCTTAGAGCTCTTGCTGGGTGTGTGGGCTTCTGTAAAGCATGATTGAATCACCAGGAGGGGTCCCTGTCCTAAAATACCATTGAATTAAAACCTAAAGAGTAATGCAACTTACATGTATGAGAAGCTGCTGACTGCAGAGATACATTAAAATGACCACCTGCTTCTCTGAGCCTACCATCCACTGCCCCAGTCACACGTGTTCATGTATGGCAGAAGTATGAAGGCTTGTATTAAAAGCAGTTTGAAAAATTCCTTGGGAGCTTAGGGAGAGGCAGCCAATGTTTCAGCCAATCAGTTAGCAATCAGTGCTTTTTAGGATAATTGAATATGAGGGTGGCAAGGTACTTACTCTGACGGGCTTTCAAAGTGCTGTTAAAAGTCTGATTTCCAAACCAAACTGACATCACTTATTTAAATAGTTAGTGTTTCCTGAGGAAAGTCTACCTGAATTGCAATCCATCACCAAAGGCAGTCAGCCTTGGTGACATCCCTGCTATCTTTTTCCAGCAAATATCTCAATAATAATTTCAGGTTAATTCATGCTAAGTGGAATTAGCATGGTGTGGCACGCCAGCTGTAGAGTGAATTGATGGCTCAAGGTCCTATGGAAGTTCAGTAAAAATTACTTAATTTAGCATTTGTCTTATCTCCATACTTGAGTACTGGTCCTTCATTTGATAAATAGCGTTGGACTTTAAGTTTTTGTCCCAGAAGACAACCCATCAGAAATTCCTTCCATCCATCCCAGACGTCCAAACGAAGTGTTGTGCCTGTGGATCAAGAGAGGCAGTTAATCATCCCAGTCTATCACTGTGGTTTGGAAATCCATAAAACTTCTAAGGATAGCTTTCTTCAACAGAGGCACAAGCTAGATGCAAATCGAAAAGTAACCTTGGACTAAGTAGACAGGGATGCTATTTTTAGCTTAGGCCTGCAGTCACTTGGAAAAGCCATTTAACTTCTGTGCACTTCCGTTTTCCCAGCTGCACAGCAATTGCATATAAGCTGCAATACTTTTTTGCACCTATCTTAAAATAGTCCTGTGGACATTGATTCCGTGCTGACATATACATCACCATGTAGGGGCGCCTGGATGGCTCAATCGGTTAAGCATCTATCTTTGGCTCAGGTCATGATCTCACGTTCGTGAGTTCTAGCCCTACATTGGACTCTGTGCTAACAGCTCAGAGTCTGGAGCCTGCTTCGGATACTGTGTCCCCCTTTCTCTCTGCCCCTCCCCTGCTTATACTCTTTCTCTCTCTCTCAAAAATAAATAAACATTAAAAAAATTTATACATCACCATGTCAACTGAAGCCAGTATGTTGGAAAAGGAAACTGAAGAAACTGTGACAGGACTAATGGGCTTTTGGGGCCGTTAGCTTACAAGCGGGCTGTGGGTGGAGTTGAATGATCCTTTTGTTTTATCCTTCACAAAATAGATATTCTGTATTATGAACATGAAAGTAATGTGTTCATTGCCACTGGAGAATTTTTTTTTTTTTTAATGGGGAAAGAGAGGAAGTACAAGTAGGGGAGAAGGGCAGAGGAAGAGAGAGAGAGAATCCCAAGCAGGCTCCACATTCAGCATGCAGCCTGATCCCAAGACTCTGGGATTATGACCTGAGCTGAAATCAAGAGTCACACACTCAACTGACTGAGCCACCCAGGCATCCTGCTGCTGGAGAATTTGTCACTTGCTCCTCAAAAGTCTACCCTCTCCTGGTCTACGCTAGGTAGCACCTCATACCCTTTGTCTTTCAGGCTGGTGTTTTTTAGGAATCTTCTTTCCTCAGCCTTCTTTTCTTTCTCTACACATTCCCCCGGGATAAAACCCAATCTCCTTCCTGTCTGGCTCACTCGCTCTGTCCCAGCCACTCTGACCTTTCACCTGTCCTTCAGACACACTACGTCTACTCCCATCTCAAGACCTGAAGACTTGTAATTTCTTTTGCTTCAAAGGGTCTTCATCCAGCTTTTCACAGGATAGTGTCCCTATTCAGTTTTTAGTTCAAGCATCATGTCCTCACAAAGGACCCTCTTGGCCACCACTGCCCCCTGCCCCCTGCCCCCCAACTCCGTTAGTCTTTATCCTATGACTTTATTTTAACTTCTTCATAGCTCCTATCATCAGTACTTTAAATCATTTTTCTTGTTTGGACTTTTTTGTTTTTCATGTCCTCACTAAAAAGAAAGTTCCTTCAAGACTTGCCACATAGCCTGGCACTTAATAAGTGCTCACTGAATATTGGCTGACTAAGGCAATCTCAGTGATGCTATTGGCTTCACTGACCACCCACATGGCGTTCATTCCAAAGTCCAAATCTCCACACCAGGCCTCTGCTTCAGCTCCAGAGTCCCCCTACTGGGGACACAGGCATCTAAGAGAGTGCACTATAAACCCATCGTTCTGAAAGACCACTCATCTTTCCTCAACCTACTCTTCCTCCTGTGTTGTGTCTCAGTTTGTGGCACCACTGTCTTCCTTGTTACCTCCCTCAGCTAGACATTGAGGAGTTACTCTTTGTCCTTCCCTTTTTCTCATGCACAATAGCTAAGGCCTGAAAAGTTTATCTCATAAAAGTTTAAGAACCATTTCCTTGCCTCCGTCTCCCCGGCTCCACCCTATTTCAGGCCTAGATGATCTTTCACCTAAATCTACCTCCGGAAGCTCCCACCAGCCTCCTCATCCCTTTATTCAGGTCTCTGCTCAACTGTCATCTCCTCTTCTAGCTAACCATCTAATAGCCTCCCCCCCCCCATGCTACCACATGACTCCCTATTCCCATATCCTGTTTTCCTTTTACTAAGAAGTTCTCATTTCTATTTAAAATTTGCTCTTTTTCTGTTTACTCAGTGCTGCTTGCCTTTCCCACTGAACTGCAAGCTTCAAGATGCTAGGAATCTTGCCACTGTTGCTCACAGCTCTATGTTCACTTTCCTTGGTGGTGCCTGGCTCATGGTGGATGATCAGTAAATATTTGTTGAAGGAAATTCTACCCTATTTCACAAATCCATTTTGGCCACCTCCTGCCCTCCTAGCCCTTTGTAGCCCAGGAGGCCGGCCTGCACTTCAGTGTGCACAATAGGCTGTTTCTGGTCTTGGGGTCTCTCCTTTTGCTGTCTGAATTCTTGTGACTTCTTACCCACGCCCTCCTGCCAATAGTTTATGATGCAACCCTGGAATCACCTCCTCCGGGAAGCCCTTCTTAATTATGTCATTAGCTCACCACTCTCAATAGATAAAAGGACTGTTCAACTGGTTACCATAATGTATGTTGAAAGTCTTTATTGTTAAAAATACATTTCTGCTTTGGAATTCCCAGTTTATAAACCCTGACAGAGAACTCTCTGAGCCCAAGCATTATGTCTCATCCAGTCTGTGGGTTCTGTTCTAGTTATACTTTTGGGCTGCAAGGAGGCCCTCAGGAAAATGGGGTTTATTGTACTGAGTCAAGGGCCAGATCTGCTGTACGTTGCGAACAAAAGTACTCAAGATGGGCCACTCCCCAACTCCCAGGAGCTCCAGGATCTCTCTCTCTCTTTCTCAAGCCCTCTAGCTCTTTGTGTCTCCTCCCTTTCTCTGCTAACAGGCTGCCCTGCCTTCTTACAGTTTGTCCTGCCGTAGCTGAGGTATGTGTGCAACATTGCTTTGCCATGACCCAACCTTACGTCATGACACCGTGAATTTTCTGCCCACACTGATAACCAGTTTTGTCTCTCTGTATTTCCCAATTGGAATTCACAAGGCTAGTAATAATTAATGATAATAATATATTGAATATGAACAGCTAATACTCATTGAATGTTTATTATATGCTCTCCATTATTCTAAGTACTTTACGTGAATAAGAGAATGTAACATTTACAACAATCCTAAGTATGGGTTGTATTATTCTCTCCATTTGACATCTAAGGAAACTGAGGCACTATGAGATTCAGTAAACTGCCCAGGTTTTACATACCCAGTAAGTAGTGGAATCAGGAGTTGTACCTAGGCAATCTGGCTTCTGTGCCTACATTCCTGTCCTCTGTGTTATCTTTGTCTCCAAACAAGAATTTAATTGACTCAGCTGTGAGAGCTGATGTCATTGGACAATCTGTAGATTGGCTGACTGCCTTTGAATCAATATGATGGCCTTGGCAGTAGGAACTGGGAATATGTGTGACTTGGCTTATCCATACATACCCTCAGGCCCAGACACATAATAAGTTTATAATAAATACTTGCAGGTGTTTATTATCCTTGATGCAATAGATTTAGTTGCTCTGAAGCTTCTTGCTGTACTTAAACTTTCTTATTTAAAGGTTTGACTCCTATGGGTAGCACTGAAAACAAGGGACTTTAAACACTGTTCCAAGTACATTTATTTCATCTCCTGACTTAAGTGATTTGCTGTGTTTGTAGTTTACTATAAAAATTACCCATAGGGGCCCCTGGGTGCCTCAGTCAGTTGAGTGTCCAACTCTTGATTTTGGCTCAGGTCACGATTCCAGGGTCATGGGATCGAGAACCGCATCAGACTGTGTGCTGAGTTTGGAGCCTGCTTGAGATTCTCTCTCTCTCCCTTTGCCTCTCTGCCCCTGTCCCCAGCTCCTGCTCTCCCTCTCTCTTAAAAAAAATTGTTATCCACAGATGAGCATTGAAAAGCCTGATTGACACTGTACCGCAGCCTCCTTGATCCTTTACAGCTGAGGCCGCACAGCTTCCATCTGAAGAGCCAGCCAAGCTCTAGGGCCAGGAAATAACCTTAATTCTAGTAAAAGGGAATATGTTAAGCCAGTAGCTCAGGTGGGAAGTTGGCATTTCTGTTCATCTGGCTCAGATATTGTCTCAGTTCTAGCAAGTTGCCTTTTTATCCCTCCTGACCAAGCCCCCACCTTGTGCCCCAGAACAAGAATGTCAGTATCCTACTCTACCTTTTGGGTTTTAGAACTGAGGTTCATCCATTCTCTGAGCCTGGAGCTGAAGTTCTTACTCTGAACCCCAATCTCTGGGGTTAGATTTCTGTTACGTGTTGTCAGAGCCTCTGATGTCAACAACTAGCTTGTCTGGTTTGTCACCTCTTATGTAATTTATTTATTTATTCATTCACTCGCTACCTTGATGCTATGCTATGGCTCGCCCAGCAGGGGCCTGATGGGTCACCTGAGATCAACTTCTGCCTTCCTAAATGTAGTTGCAGACTGATCTATCTACGTATCCCAGGGATCCCACCAGCAGGACTTATTTGAGACTAACTTCCTTCTTCTTGGCCCACCTGCCCTTTCCTAAGTGGTTGCCTAGCATTAGGATCTCAGCTCTTCCTCGATCATCCTGTCCAGTGTCGATGAACCCCGATTCTGAAAACTGCAGAGAAGGCTATATGATTTAAATCCTCATCAGCAGTAGGGCACCTCCATCGAGCCCTGTATTTTATTCTCCTTTAACTCCGTATCTGGGAACAATTGTTACAGGTGTTGTAACTATTAATTTTAGTTCCTTGCAATGAAGCAGTCCTCATTTCTGAGGGAACAAAGGTAACAATGGATGCTTTTCCTCTTAATGCTCAACTTTTGAAAATCCAGAGAACTTCTAAGCAAGTTAACCATTTATTGGATAATCCTTCCATCCCAGTTAGTTTGTAATGCTTCTTTTGTCACATATTAAATTTCTTCATAAGTTTAAGAATTCTGTTGGAAAAATAGAAATTTACTTGAAATATGCTATGTTGTAAGTGGAAGTAAAACTAATGAGACTTAAGCTTCAGGACCTCTCACTATATGAGTTTTCTAATCCTCTCTTCTTAATTTTGAATTTTTTTCAAAGACCCCCAAAATGGTATATGTTTATAAAACCTGGATCTGCTCACTCTCTACTTGCAAACCCATCACCATGCCAAGCCATTCAGGAAAGCAGGTATGAGCAACAGTGCCTGTTCTAGGGAATTGTCTTCAACTTCTCCCTATGTGGTCCCTGTATCCCAAGGTTCCGGATTCCTCATCCATACTTTGAGGTCAATATCTGCCTATCTGATCTGAGATTTTTCTTCCTGAATATGGAAATCACTTCTCTGGTGTGGGTTTCCCCTAGTGGGAAGCAAAACAACACATTTATCAGAAATTAAAGAGCATGAATAAAAGTAGGTGCCAATAAAAGTTGCCAATATAAATTGTTGGAAAGAACCCAATCCTGAGTGTGTGATTATGATTTATTAGCAGTATGACCTTGAGCTGGTCACTTAACTTCTTTGAGCCTCATTTTTCTCATTTATAAAATGAATTAAAGTAACGTGTAGGGGGGCGCCTGGGTGGCGCAGTCGGTTAAGCATCCGACTTCAGCCAGGTCACGATCTCGCGGTCCGTGAGTTCGAGCCCCGCGTCAGGCTCTGGGCTGATGGCTCAGAGCCTGGAGCCTGTTTCCGATTCTGTGTCTCCCTCTCTCTCTGCCCCTCCCCCGTTCATGCTCTGTCTCTCTCTGTCCCAAAAATAAATAAACGTTGAAAAAAAAAAATTTAAAGTAACATGTAGGTCTTCAAGGGGCCTAAGGGCTGGTAGAAGGGCCTTTGAGCCAGCTGAGATTTTAGGGTCTGATAGGACCCTGCTCCTGGAATAGTCTCTGAGATACAATGTGCTCATTCTGGCCACGAATACATGCCACATGGCATTTATAGTGAAAAATACCAATGGCATCATTCTGTAAAGGAAAGGTATTCCTTCATTCACTTATTTGTAAGGCACAGTTGTTCCAGAAAGGATTAATGTCAGTTTATAAGCATATACAAAATATAGACAGAGTAACTAGCAAACAAGCACATAGATAAGCAAGAGGAAAGCAAAAGCCAGGATAGAGATTTAAGAACTAGAAATGAGGCTCGTGGTGCCTGGGTGGCTTAGTCAGTTAAGCATCTGACTTCAGCTCAGGTCATGATCTTGTGGTTCATGAGTTCAAGCCCTGCATTGGGCTCTGTGCTGACAGCTCAGAGCCTGGATCCTGCTTCAGATTCTATGTCTCCCTCTCTCTGCCCCTCTCCTGCTTGCACTCTCTCTCTCTCTCAATAAAAAATAAATATTTAAAAATTAAAAAAAAACTAGAAATGAGGCTAAAATGAACATATAAATGTCCCATACACATTGATACAAGAAAAGGTGGGTGTGGGTGTGGGGGTGTGGGTGTGTGTTGTACCTATATGATGTACCAATAAGCCTCAAGTCACAAAATCACAAATATTAGAGAATGTTTAGCTTTGGCAAATTCTTGATAAGTTCATCATTAAATATTCTATCACCAAAAACATCCTTTATCCTCTAATTACTTATCTTTTTTTTAATCCCTGAAATCTTTCTGTCTCCATCCTCTTTATTAAAACTGCTCTGAGCTCACCAGTGACCTTTAAGCCAAATCAAAAAGTTTTTCTCAGACATTGTCTTTGGCCTTTTACCAGCATCCTGAAAACAGTCTCTTCCTTGTCATCTGTGACAATGCAAAGTCCCAGTTCCCTCCCACTTCTGACAACTTTGCATGTCTCCTTTTCTGACTCCTCTTCTGTCTACTTGCCCTGACTTCAGCATGTCCTGACCACTGGCCTTTGGCCCTTGACATGTTCCTTTCTGTACTTACTCTCTCAGGAAAGCACGTCTCCTAGGGCTTGGCCCCTGACCCATGGGCAGGACGCCTACAGCAGTATCTGCTAACCCAACCCATCATTAAGCCCTCACCCCATATTTGTCATGGAGGAGATTTAGACGATGTCACATGTACTTACAACTTTGCTACCAACTAGCAGAGTAACTTTTAGGAAATAAACCATACTCTCTGAGTTTCTTTATATCTAAAGTTCAGGACCCAAAGCATAAGCTCCTTTTCCCAAATTTTACCACCACCGTCCTAGTGTCAGAGCCCTGGTGCTTCCCTCTTCTTAAATATGATTCAGCCTGACATCCTGTCTCTACTTCCTGGGTTTCTCAGATTCATCTCTTCTGTTGCTAGTGGAATTGGTTAATACTGGGATTCTCAGAAAGCCTGTTGGCATATCACCTTGCTTCTCTCTTCACTCCTATCTGTATTTCATGCTGCTTGCTACCAGATTAAACTTCTGCTAAAACATTTCTGTTCCAGAATGTACATGGCTCTGGTGGCAAGCATATTAAGCTTACATATTAAGTTCTGTTGCCTCACCCCAAGACCCTTCTCAATCTGACCCCAGTTGTGTTTCCTATTGGTCTCAGCGAGGCTCCTCCACTCTTTGGAACAGTCTCCTGATATTTGTCTTCCCTGGATTAAACCCATGTTTGTGAACCTGTGTTTTTCTTTTGGCTCAGAAGCCTGGAATGTCTTCCCTTCTTCATTTCAGATGATTATCTTTGTGTGCTCACACCCGGCATTCTCCAGAATGCCTTCCCTTGAGCCCTTCAGCCTACACTGAGCTGACTTACTGGATTATAACTAAATATATGTGCATGCCTTCTTTCTACCACTTTATTATAAATGCTTGGAGTGCAGAAGCAGTTTTGCATCTCTCTATATGAGCTAGTAAGTATTTCCAGACTAAATGAGCTACTGAAGTCCTTGATTTTTTTTTTTAAGTTTATTTCTTTATTTTGAGAGAGAGAAAGAACACAAGTGGGGTAGGGACAGATATAGAGGGAGAGAGAATTCCAAGCAGGCTTTGCGCTGTCAGCACAGAGCCCGACGCAGGGCTTGAACTCACAAATGGCGAAATCATGACCTGACCCAAGATCAAGAGTTGGATGCTTAACCAGCTGAGCCACCCAGGCACCACTGAAGTCCTTGATTTTCAATATGAGCTTGACTGTTTCTCAGAAGCCTTCTGATTTTCCACTGTCTTTAGAAAGGGGTCAATTTTCAACTCTTGATAGCATCAGGGATGACTCATTGACTGGGAAGGGGAGAACCTGGAAGACAGGCTGATCATAACTCCTTTACCCTCTAGTTAAAAAAGGTGGACTAGCTATTGAGGAACACTAGGGATGCTTTGCACAAAGATATGAAGCAGCCCAAAGACTTTTCCTCCCTTCTCTTTGAGGCTCTTCTTTCCTTGCCTCTCCTCCTATGGCCTGTGTTCTAATGGTGGCCAAAGCAGCCTACTCTGGTCATACTTGAGCCCCTAGAACCTGACATTTGAAAACCATCATTCCTAGGGGGTCATTTTAGGAGGCCTGGTTTATCCTTGACACATCCTGAGCAAATCATTCAACCATTTGGAATATTTTTGCTTTCTTTAAATCTATAAAAATTGGAGGTTAGACCAAGCCATTTCTAAATTCTCTTCTAGCTGTAAACTGTCATATCATAATCTGAGTACCATAGGCCTGAAGAGCAGTCACCCTAATTTTCTCATGTATCCTTTTATGTTTCATTAAATAACTAGATCATAAATTGCTTGGGGACAAATGCCTCTTGTGTGTCCTTACTCACATAAGCCTCCACCATCTTCTGGGCAGGGCTGATCTCTTAGCAAGCATGCAGACTGGCATGTGCTTTACTGTGAGGTGCTCTCAGGACAAATCCCAGAACATCACTTCCTTTGGTCAAAAACAGGATGATAAATGATGTCAAAAGTTTTGAGAGCCTCAATTAAAGTACCATGAAAGAATTAGCAAATATAAGAGTCAAGAGAAATAACAATAAATGAAAATTTAGCAGTTATAAAAAGCAAAACTGCCTAATTCAATGATGTTTACAAAGCCCTACTATAAATTGGGAGAAGTCCAATTCCATTGCAACAAATGTGACAACACAACGTTACCTAAACTTCTGCTAATTATCACAAAGATTCATTCACCTCAAGCAAGAATCTCTGTAAGGTTTGAACCATTTTCCAATAGAGTTAAAACAATCTGATGGTCCTTTGATTTTGTCTTCATGGTGTATGGCTACAGCAGTCACAACCTAGAAGTACAATATTTAAATAAAAGTTGTAATGTGTCCATCAGGGATGAATGCCAGCTCACTAATCTGTACATCAGGGATGAAAGCCTGCACAGTGTCTGCTTCATGCTGTTTAAAAGATTAACGTAACTGATAATATCTTAAAATAAGATTGCAAGTCTCACATGCTACCATTCGTGTTAAAAAGGAGAAAAAGAACGTGTATTTGAACTTCCTTCTATGTATTCTTGAAATATATTTTGAAAGAGAAACATATAAATTGGTCTGAGTTTTGCTCTTCTATCCCGAGGATATTAACAAGTTATCCTACTTTGAGAAAAGAGAACAAGACTTGGCAGGGCTATGAGACCTTTCTTATTTCTTAGTCTACAGACCCAGCTACCAGAGAGGTGTATGGATAATTTACATCCCCACTGAGGTTACAGAAGTTTTAGTTTGGAAACAATTCCTCCATTTGTTGCAAATCTGGTATCGAAGAACCCTAGCGCTGAGCAGTAGTTAGTATCAAATATAGTGGGCAGTACCGATGTCTGTTTGGTAGTCCCTGAGGGTGTTGCAGTCATACATCTCCATTCCGTTTGGGGTCCGGAGACAGAAGACACTCACGGGAAAGCCACATCTCAGAGCTACCAGTGTTCTCAGATCAGACACTTTTTTACTAAGAAGGGAGATGTTCTCCATCATTGGCATTGTCTCTTGGGTCACAGCATTGAACACATAGAGAGTTGGCTTATCTTCTTCCTAAGGGGAAAGAGAAGGAGGGAACTTAAGAATAAGCACTGTCTTGGGGTTGGAGCAAGGGAAAAACGTTTTGGAGGGTGGCCCTAAGTGCCTGTAACTTCCATGACATGGGTGTTAAGGATGAGGGCAAAGGCCAGTTAGGTTCCCTGGCTTCTGGTCTAACTCTTGTTCTTCTGTCCCAAGGATATTAAGGAGTCCTCCTGCTTTGAGTAGCATAAAGAAGACTTGGCAGGGCTTTGAGACCCCTTTTTTTAGTCGACAAACCCAGATACACAAGAGGCATGTTGATAATTGATATCCAAGCTGCACTTATGGAGGTGTTGGTTGAGAAACAACTCCACTGTTATGTTGTACATTGATTAGGAAATACTGTGGATTCTTCGGGGCACTTGCATGGCCCAGTTGGTTAAGTGTCTGACTCTTGATTTTGGTTCAGGTCATGATCTCACGGTTGTGGGATCAAGCCCTGCATCAGGCTCTGCACTGACAGCATGGAGCCTGCTTGAGATTCTCTCTCTCCCACTCTCTCTGCCCCTCACATTCATGCTTTCTCTCTCTCTCTCTCTCTTTTTTTTTCAAAATAAATAAACATTAAAAAAAAAAAGAAATACAATGGATTCTAAACCTTTGGTCAGTTTTTAAAATCCTTTCTAAGAGGTTGTCTCTAGGGAGTGGAACCAAGTTCAAGATTGGGGGGATAGTTGGCTTATCATTTTATGCTTTTCATTGTCTGCATGGTTTGACTTAAAAAAAAAACACATGTGTATTTATTTTTACTCTTTAAAAAGGGAAGTTCTAAATATAAGTGAAAATTTTCCTTTTTTCTTTTTCTTTTGCAATCCAAATACTAAAGCAAGTGGCACTGATGGATCTGAAGTAGAGTTAAAATGGAAACTTTGGGGAAAATGTTCATCCTCCTGTTAACAACAGGTGAATCAAGCCAAACTAAAACTAAAAACACAGGAAACGGGAAATGTGAAGGGGGCGGAGAGAAGACTATTAACATTTTCACTCTTCTAACAAAAAAAGTGAAATTGACTTTACTTCTTTTTTATCGGATTCAAGACAATCATTTTTTTCCTCGAAGGCTTCTTGTTGGCTTGGCAGATTTGAATGCACAGTGCTGCCACTGTAACATGGGACTCTTGGAGAGGGGTCTTAAGTAAAACGGAGAAGGGGGCTCCAGCCAGTCATTGCTCTCTTGTTCAGCCTCTGTTCTTCTCTCCCTTTCTCCTATCAAAATTTATTTCTAGGGACACAGGAGTACTGATGCATAGGGGCACTTGTACCCCAATGTTCATAGCAGCACTCTCAACAATAGCCAAATTATGGAAAGAGCCTAAATGTCCATCAACTGATGAATGGATAAAGAAATTGTGGTTTATATACACTATGGAATACTACGTGGCAATGAGAAAAAATGAAATATGGCCTTTTGTAGCAACGTGGATGGAACTGGAGAGTGTGATGCTAAGTGAAATAAGCCATACAGAGAAAGACAGATACCATATGGTTTCACTCTTATGTGGATCCTGAGAAACTGAACAGGAATCCATGGGGGAGGGGAAGGAAAAAAAAAAAAAAGAGGTTAGAGTGGGAGAGAGCCAAAGCATAAGAGACTGTTGAGAACTGAGAGCAAACTGAGGGTTGATGGGGGGTGGGAGGGAGGAGAGGGTGGGTGATGGGTATTGAGGAGGGCACCTTTTGGGATGAGCACTGGGTGTTGTATGGAAACCAATTTGACAATAAATTTCATATATAAATAAAAAAAAAATAAATTAAAATTTATTTCTGGATTCCCCAGGAGCCCCTCCCTGTTTCGGGCTTATAATACGTTATATTCATTCCCCTCCTCCCAGGTCACACATTGCCATGATATAATCAACATGCAGATCTCTTTGAAAGAGGCTTTAAAGGAGTAATGAATGTTATTGATGAACATTTAGGCTTCAAAGCTTTGATCTGGGGCCCATTTCAGTGACTCAAATCACCAGAAACAGGTTCCGGCCCTCTGTTTCCTGAGTCTGAAGTGCTTAGAACGGTTTTACTCAATAGCTTCTCATAAATCTGCTCAGTAAAAATTGAAAGGACATAGGATTCACCCTTTCCCTTTCACCATGTTTATGTTTTCCTATGGCTGCATTAAAGACCAACCTAATCCATGTGATAATATAGGTAGGAAGAAATTCTATGAAAACTGAATAAAAAGAGTGGGGGGGGGGAGAAAAATTATATTTTAGATAATAGCTGTTCCTTATTTCTTTTATGATTACTCTGATTTCTTGTTAGCCCTTGGTACCGATACTAATTTATAGTTAAAATTATATGTGTAATGTGCAAACAAAATAGCAAAGGCCCAAGTCACTCTTAATAGCTAACTAGCAATTACATAATGTTACAAAGTTAAAAAGGAGCTTCTAAAAATATGAATAAACACAAGCATCTATAACCTAGGTATACATAAAGCTCTGAAACAAGTAATAAGTTAGAATTGCAAAATATACGGCAATGTTTAGATGAAAATCAAAAGTGTAAATAAGAAAATATTATTAATGAAGCCAGGTTCTTAAGTCGCAAGAAAATTAACACCTACAGAATTTGTTATTTTATTTATTTATTTATTTTGAGTTTGTTCTTTCTTTTCTTTTTTTTCTTTTCTCTTTTCTTTTTTTTCTTTTTTTTAAGCACCCAGGAACTTCCCAGGCCCATTTAATTTATAATGTATCTGGAACATAGTTCTCTTTGTAATATTTTAACTCTATTTATCCATCATTTTATAAACCTTATTTTTGTGAAAAAGCTCACTTTAAGTTCTAATGAGGCAGACCAATATTGGAGACACTTCTTCATGTTGGTTATTTGGAGGGGGAGCAGGTAGGTGCTGATTAAATAGCAACTTGCCAACTCATTCTATCTACATAAGAAAAGCCATCTCTCTAGCTCCATGATGCCCCTCCTCAAATTTCCTAAAGGGAACACTGGTAGTTATACTCAAGGAAGTCAGATGTTATTAAATAAACAATACTACCACAAATAATTGTTGAACATATATAAAATTAGATTTTTCCCTTTACAAATAAACCAAGACACCATGGTAGGTAGGAGGTACAGACAAAATGTCTTATTTTTCAATAAAAACAAATACATAGACCTACTTCATGGTAATAATTCCACTTTTGTCTTAAGAAACCAAGTGCAAACTCACTGTAAAAACATGTGCATTAACAATAAAATAGGAAAAGTTAAAGAGAAACAGATGGAAAGACAACAAAAGTTAATGCAAATTTTGAACACTGCTATACATTTTCTACAAGTTCTGCTTTTTTAGATTTTGCTTTTCTGGAGTTGCAGCACTAAAAAAGCAGAAACTTGCCCCAATGATTCCTGAGTAGATGAAAAGAGGAAATAAATAATGTTTGCTTTTCATAAGAGACTCTTAAAAACTGAGAACAAACTGAGGGTTGATGGAGGGTGGGAGGGAGGGGAGGGTGGGTGATGGGTATTGAGGAGGGCACCTTTTGGGATGAGCACTGGGTGTTTTATGGAAACCAATTTGACAATAAACTTCATATATTGAAAAAAATAAATAAAATAAAACCTCCTAACCAACCACAAAAAAAAAAAAATAATGTTTGCTTTTGTTGAACTGAATGAATTCAAGTTGAGATGTCTTCATAAACATCTTAACCTTGTAAACTTCTTTTGTATGAAAATCATCCTGAAGACGTTATACTTGAATTCTAGGACACTGAATTCAAATACCTTTCTTCACCAAATTCTTTACATACTATTCTTTATGGCTTATCTTTAAAAAAATAGACATTTTTTAGAACAATGTTTTGTTTGTAAATTATACTTTTTTTAAGTTAAATTTTTTTAAATTTAAGTGATCTCTACACCCCACATGGGGCTTGAACTCATGACCCCAAGATCAAGAGTCACTTGCTCCTCCAACTGAGCCAGCCAGCCACCTCTCATTTGTAAATTCTACATTTTTAAGAAGCATATTTATACATTTTTTGTGTGTGTCAAGTATATTTAAAATCTAAAGTCACATATTATGTGCCTCCTGGATTTTGGTGTTTATATGTTGAGTGCCTTTCAAAAGCTAAAGGTATAGTAACTTGAATCAATTTTTGGACTTGTAATATATTTTAAGCTTCTCCAACTTGTCTAATAGACATTTACTCAATACTACCACAATTAATCTGATCTCTTACCGTAAAATAACATTCCAAGGATGCCCGAAAGGAATAACTAAGCTTTAACGCCATCCCTTGGTTGGTAGAAATATGGTGAGAGAAGGAGGCAGGGAACCCAGAAGGAGTGTCAGGGAGGCTGAGCCCACCTCACATGGTAGAAGGTGTGAGCTGTCAAAGATTTGCTTGTTAGCCCCCTTTGCAGTAGGTCCTGGACACGTGACCAGGATGTTCCTACTCAGGCCTACCCATCCAGCCCTACTTTGAATTAGAGGCCAGTAAGGCAGAGCAGGAACAGATACAGGGAATCCTCTGTGGCAGTGGCAGATCTGAGGCATTGCTGGTGTTTCCAGTACCTGCTTCAAGGGCTTAGAGGTAGCCGAAGTGGTAGCTTTCCTGGACTAGTCCTAGGGCCTGATTAAGACATTGTTTTTGGCTCCATAATCTCTGAGCCTGATTCTTCAGTCTTCCTGTCAAGACTGTGAACTACCCAGTAGCCTTTCAATATGTTTATTTTCTGCTTCAATTGTCCAGGGTTTGTTTCTGCTGCTTGCAGCTAAGAACGCTGATGCTAGATAAGAAAATATAGGGCAAGGATGCAGGAGCACCTTGCCGTGAGGGTAGAGAGGGAGAGAGATGTCACAGTAAGGGGGGGAATCCAAACCCTGAAATGCATCTCAATACCTTGCTATAACATTTCTGATAACAAGCATATACCTTCTTGTTAATTTTCACACTCTACCTCTCAAGGCCTTTGTCAACTTATTTATTCAACACCTATTTACAGAGAGCCTCATATGCCAGGTGCTATTCCAGGCAGTGGGTGCCAACAAAACTCAAGCAATAGTTTCCACAATAACACTGGTTGGAGTGAAGGGGGCAAGTGCGATAGCATTTCTGCATGTCTGACAACCTAGGCCTTTCCACTGCATCATGCCACGGTTTACCGGATGAATGGGCAGCAATGAATGGGCACGACTGACTCCTGTGTTAATAGAACTTGGATATATGTGCTATAGAAGATAACATCTATGGTTTCTGTAGTTTTTTCCCAAAGAAGAAAAAACGAATACAATGTTCCTTCCCCACTATTCTCATATCACCTCCTCATTCACTTTTCCAAATGGGTCTACATTACCATTAAAGGAGAAGGTGTAATACACAAGGAAGCTGGGAAATATATTGACTATTTAAAAAATGTACTTAAGAGCAGATCACCTCTTAATTTATCAGAAGTCTTTTCCTCTTTTCACACAAGCAAGCCTTGTAATTCACACAAAAATATAAGCACGATAAAGAAACCAAATATTTTGGATTTGTTTCATAATATCTACTTGTAGTTTTTTAAAAAAGAAAGTTGTTTACTTGGCAAGTTTTTAAACTTTGCAATAGCATTTGTTTCTCATCTTGGTATGTCTAAGTTGTACCAAAATAAATGAAGAGCCTCTAGCTTTTCGAGATTCTCAGAAGGTAAAACTAATTGCGTGAAGTACCATAGTTAAATAGGAAAGGTACTACTTAAATTTGTATACATCTAACTATGCAATAAAGCAACAACATGACTTAGAATGCAGCCTTGTGTTAGTTACTTAAGATAGATTAAACAGCACAGAACTGGTCTGACTGCATTCTCTGAGGCATGGGATATTTTCATCATGTATTTTTGTTGTTGTAAACCCATTTGGACTGTTATTATTCATACACAGTAAATGGTGTGGACTTTTGAAATAGGCCTGTTTTATCATCTAATCTAAACAGGATAAAAGCCAATATTTATGGCTTAATCTCTTCTTTCAGATTCAAGATACTGTTTTTCTCCTAAAACCAGTGATACGAACTTCTCTAAATGTGATTCTACTGGAGAAAGTGAAGATTAAGATCAGTAAGATTTCCATTGAACTTGAGAGTTTTTAATTAAACCCTATGTGCTGGCCAGTCCTGTGATGCATAATTAGCTTCTGCCTCTCTTGGGTAAACCCATTTTACCTCTCTACTCTTTTTTTTTTTTTTTTTCCATTAGGAGTTTAAACTCCAGAGAAAGGTTTGAGTTCAGTGAGAAGACAGCTTGCATCACTGTGATAGATGATGCTTTATTGCCAGAATTTATAAAATATTTTTGTAAGTAAAACTATGAAATGGATTGCATCGAGGGAGGGAAACTGAGGGGCCAAAGGTAGGAGGGAGACTTTTTACTGTATACATACTTTTTGTATCTTTTATCTATGTGAGTGTACTACCTGGTCAAAAATACATAAAAGGAAGAATTTTTTAAATAAGGAAAATAAAGCCAGTGCCGAGTTAAATAATAGTATTTTATTCATACTCTTAACACACATTATCTACGTCCCTAAACAGCTGTGGCTCAATCCATCTCTTCCAGCCAGCTCAAATATTAGTAATAAACTTATACCACTATCTCCAGGTAAACAAACAACATATCTCAAACATCATTCTTGGCACTGGAAAATTCCAGGACATTTTAAAGACTTTATCCTGGGGGCGCCTGGGTGGCTCAGTCAGTTAAGCGTCCGACTTCAGCTCGGGTCACGATCTCGCGGTCCGTGAGTTTGAGCTCGTGTCAGGCTCTGGGCTGATGGCTCAGAGCCTGGAGCCTGATTCCAATTCTGTGTCTCCCTCTCTCTCTGCCCCTCCCCCATTAATGCTCTGTCTCTCTCTGTCCCAAAAATAAATAAACGTTAAAAAAAAAATTTTTTTTTAATAAAAAAAAAAGAGTTTTAGTATATGAGTATATTTAAAGACATGAGGAAAAGACATTTAAGAAATGAGATTGGGGAAAAAAAAGAAATGAGATGGAATTTAGTCTACCCAAAAGAGTATTATACTATAATTATTTTAGTGCAGAGGGAGAAAAGAAGTCAGAGTTATTTTTATTTATCTTTTTGGTAATTAAACAGATTTAAAGAATATAACAATAGCACATGAATAAATGCTCATAAAACATTAAAGACACATATACAAATATGTTATTTTTATTTACATAAATGAGATCATACAATGCTTATTTTTCTGTGACCTGTTTTTACTACTTAGTAGTAAATATCTTATTTTTTATTTTTATTTTTATTTTTTTTAAGTTTTTAATGTTAATTTATTTTTGAGAAAGAGAGAGAGACAGAGTGCAAGCAGGGGAGGAGCAGAGAGAGAGAGGAGACACAGAATCTGAAGCAGGCTCCGGGCCTTGAGCTGTCAGCACAGAGCCCGACGTGGAACAGTGAGATCATGACCTGAGTCGAAGTTGGACACTTAACCAACTGAGCCACCCAGGTGCCCCAGTAGTAAATATTCTAGAGTATTTTTTTAAACATAGACTCTCCACTTAATCAATAAAACATATTAAAAAACAAAAAGAATTAGCTTTGGCTATCATAAACATTTTTTAAGTGCTAAATATGAGAAAATTAGTGCCCCATTTAGCAGAGATGTGTACTTATTTGCTTAGTTTCTTGAGGATCATGTTTTCATTTGGGGTAAAGAACTATTATTGAATCATATTTCTTCCCTAGAGATCAGCTCTTAAACTCTTTAGGCCACCTGTCTCTAAGAAATTGTCAGAAGTTAAGGATCCTCCACCAGAAAATCTCCAGGCACATAATTTTGCTTATTTTGCAATTTTAGGGTTTTGTAAAGTGCTTAAGGACCCCCAATTAAGCACCACTAATTAAGGGCACTATAAATGGAAAAGGCTGTCTCTGGGGTATGTACACATAATTAACGAAGGGCTACTCTCACTGGATTTGGATGTAGAAACTGCCCCTTCATTTAAAAAAATTTTTTTTTAATTTTTAATGTTTATTTCTGAGAGAGAGAGACAGACAGACAGTGCAAGTGGAGGAGAGGCAGAGAGAGAGAGGGAGACACAGAATCTGAAGCAGGTGCCAGGCTCTGAGCTGTCAGCACAGAGCCTGACGTGGGGCTCGAACCCACGAACTGTGAGATCATGAACTGAGCTGAAGTTGGACACTTGACTGAGCCACACAGGTGCCCATCTCCTCCCCCCCCCTTCATTCTTACAGTTACTGAGAATTTCTTCCTTTCCTCACTCCACTGCCCCTAATCCATTGTGGACCCATGGAAGTGATTGAATTTTCCTTCCACATCAATATTCCAGATCTATGCCTTGGCCTTATTCTGATATTTGTAAGTGGGTTGTTCTGGGATGACTGTTTGGAGCAGCAACAAAGGGGATAGAGGAGGGAAGGGAGAGAAGGAGTAAACAAGGGGAACTCTATCCAGACTCCACATCTTATTTCCCCTTACAGCAGAAATAAGACCAGTTAGACAAATGAAAGACAGGTGAAGGCAAGAAAAGTTCTTCCTAAGTTATGAAATTACTTTTGTTGAATTATCCACACTTTACTCAAAATGAAGTAGGTATCTTGGAGAAATGCTATTCTGGGGGCACCTGGGTGGCTCAGTTGGTTAAGCTTCTGACTGTAGCTCAGTTCATGATCTCGCGGTCCGTGAGTTCGAGTCCCACCTCAGGCTCTGTGCTAACAGCTCAGAACCTGGAGCCTGCTTCAGATTCTGTGTCTCCCTCTCTCTCTGCCCCTTCCCCGCTGATGCTCTGTTTCTATCTCTCAAAAATAAGTAAACATTAAAAAAAAAATGTTATTCTGATCACCATACCTTAACAAAGCATTTGAGAGTTGAACAAAAAGATATTCCAACATCTGCAAGACTCCAGCTGTCCTTTAGGGCTGCTCCAGCATACATCAGCTCCAGATACCGCCTGCCTTGTTCATCTTCAGAGAGAGGAATGTGGAAATAATCCTTAAAAATCAATAGCACATTATCAAAGCAGTGTATCTCCACGTTACTAGACCCGCAATATAATCTCTTTTCTTTTACGTTTTTTTCCCCCACTGAGAATTATAAAATTATTTTGGACAGAGGAAGAGGTATTAGACAGGAGCTCTTAACTTGGAGTCTAGAGACCTCCACAAAAGTTTACGGATAGAATTTAGTTGGGAATAACTATATTTTATTTTTACTAACTCTAAATTAAACTGAGATTATATATATAGGCAACAAACTACTGTGTATATAGGCAACAAACTAAAGAAACAGTGGTTGGCTATATCTGTGACTTTGTCACCAGTAGAAGTCATATCTATTTTCATATCACGCTATAGTTGTTGCAGAAATCTCAAAATATTATACTGATCACTACTTTGAAATTACAAGTTATTAGATGCATTGCTAAAATTTGTCAATATGTTAAGTCCACCATATCACAAATTTGGTTTTTAAAAAAATATTTATTTATTTATTTATTTATTTATTTATTTATTTATTTATTTAGAGAGAGCATGCATGCATGTGAACAGGGAAGGGACGGGGGAGAGAGAGAGAATCTTAAGCAGACTGCATGCTCAGCATGAAGCCCGACACAGGACTCGATCCCACAACCCTGAGATCATGACTTGAGCTGAAATCAAGAGTTGGACACTGAACCAACTGAGCCACCCAGGCACCCCACAAATTTGTTTTGTAATGTTTGAAAATCATATTTCAATATAGCTTGTTTCCTTTTCTTTGTATGTATTTTATTGTATGCATTTAAAGACATTCTGAGGGGGGCGCCTGGGTGGCTCAGTTGGTTGAGTGTCCTACTTCAGCTCAGGTCATGATCTCACGGTCCCTGAGTTCGAGCCCCGCATCGGGCTCTGTGCTGACAACTCAGAGCCTGGAGCCTGCTTCGGATTCTGCGTCTCCCTTTCTCTATGCCCCTCCCCCGTTCATGCTCTGCCTCTCTCTGTCTCAAAAATAAACATCAAAAAATTAAAAAAAAAATAAAGACATTCTGAGGAATCCATAGGCTTCATCAGACTGCCAAAGGATTCATGACATAGAAAGATTAAGACCCTCTGTGTTAGAAGATCTAGATTTCAGTAATCATAGTAATCTATTAAATATCATGTGACTGCGATTCAATAAATGCTCCTCAGCAAATAGAAATGATCATCTCGAAGTTAACTACTATCTGATGGTCAGGACCTAAACATTTGTCTTAAGTTCCCATTTTAGAGGGGATATTTCTAAAAATTTATAAGAGATACTGAATCCAAATTATTTCTTATCCTGGTTCTGTAATCATAAGTAAGATGATCAGCCTCTCTGAGCTTCAGTTTCCCTGGTTGCAAAATGAGGCTATAGCTCAGAAGTTGTCTATAGTCCTCTCCATCTCAAAAATCTTTTAGATCTTTCTAGTTACTTGTTCACCAAATGGGCCATCTATCTGACAATTGGCATGCTCTACTTATATAGTTTAGAGTTAATGCCCTGTTTTTGTCCTTTTATGAAGAATTGTAATAATACTACCTGGCCAGTGCACAACCCACACATTTCATAAAGAGAAGTCAAACTTTTTTTTTTTCCTGAGAATTTACTGACTCAGTTTGCTTCCTGTCTAACAACTCCATGGTTACTATATCCTTATCAAACTGTTATATAAGCAAATAATGATATTTTCAAATAGTTTTAGTTTCCTGTTTGCTGGAAACGTACCTAATAGTATCTCTGCCCCATGTACAGTTTAAATTTATTGCATAGTTAAAATTAGTATACATCTTAGTGGCTTAGGGACAAAGCACATACCTTTATCATCAGCTTGACAGCCTCCACAGTTTCATCTGCTGAAACATCAAATGGTTCAAAAGATCCCTCAAAGGCTATGAAAATCCTCATTCTCTCAACAAACAAACAACCCTGCAACTTTTTTCAAAGAATTGGATAGCTGGAAAAATTCCAATTCACAATTAAGGACAAAAACGATTAGGGGCGCCTGGGTGGCGCAGTCGGTTAAGCGTCCGACTTCAGCCAGGTCACAATCTCGCGGTCTGTGAGTTCGAGCCCCACGTCGGGCTCTGGGCTGACGGCTCAGAGCCTGGAGCCTGTTTCCGATTCTGTGTCTCCCTCTCTCTCTGCCCCTCCCCCGTTCATGCTCTGTCTCTCTCTGTCGCAAAAATAAATAAACGTTGAAAAAAAGAAAAAAAAACGATGGCCAGAGGCAGTGTTACTATCTAGCTTGAAAGCTGAGTGGAGAGAATGTGAAGAGACAAGTCCTGCTGTATCAGTATTGGGTAACACAGACAACAGCTGCATTGGAGGAAATGTCACTCTATCAATGGCAGTCAACAGCCACCTTGTTCCAATATTACAGAAGCCAACGAACTTGACAATGGTTGGGGCAAGTGTGAACAAGATCAAACATGTAATACAGAAATGCCACACATAAATTACACTTTTGTGATGTGACCATCATTCACTGACTCTTGAATTTTTACTCAAGTGCGGTTGATTGAAAGACACTTCAAAATAGATACATGATTGGGATGTACTGGCAAGCAGTGAAGCATGTTTAAACAGAGTTGATTTTATTGAATGTGATAATCCTGAAAGTTCTCTGTAAATAACTCTGAGCTGATGCATTCTGGTTTCCTTAACAACTTTGTGTACTTGTTCCCTGGCAGTATTTCTAATCCCGCCATGGGGTACAGAACAATGCCCACTTGCACCAGGGAGATGAATGCAGAGGCAAATGACTGTGGTTTTCCCTTTGCATCTCTGTGTAATGGAATCTTTCCAATAGCAACACGATATAGTTGTATGTCTTTTAGTCCTTGCCTTCATGCTATTTAGAACAATTTACCGTTGTTATTTTCTTCAACTTCCCTTAGCATTGGTGGAAAATATTTCAAACTCTATTCAATAAATGAGAAAAGATATTAAGCACCATTTCTCAAGTTTATAGAGTAAGCCTTGTACTGGAACTTAATTCTAAGGCTCTCCCAGTATGATAAACTTGGTTTACTGCTGTTATGTCTGATTATTTGTGTATATAAATCTTGTCTTCTTCCTCCATTTCCTCCTCATCCACAGCAGAATCCTCATCTTGCATTGCTTTGTATTCTTAACAGCATTTAGCACAATGTGAGTCACATGATAGATGCTCCATAAATATTAACCTGTTAGTTGATTCCATTGTGATTTCCAACCTGAATTCCAACCATAAGAAATTTGAGAAAATGGAAAATATAAAAAGGGCAAATGATTTAACTGCAAAACTAACTCTTTTTGCCTCATATTTTTCAAGTGTTGCAACATCATGATATTTTCTTATGTTGTCAACATTCTGATAAGAAGTTTATTAACATAGGCTGTAGTTCATGCTGTTTCAGTGTCTCCCCCCAAGCTACTGTGTCTGTTGACTGGCGAAGGCTCATAGCTACATCCCCCTCTCTAAAGAATTGCCCTAAGTTGATGGGAGCTGCTTTGCCAAACAACTAGGCACCCCGCCTTAATAACAGATGGCTAAGGCACTACAAAAGGCCTGCCTTCTCATCTTAGGGAGTGAAAACTCTGCAAAAGATTCTTGTAGATCAGACTATGGCTGGACTTTACCTGACACTACATTCTTTCTCACTTTTTCTTCTTCCCAACTCTGCTGAATTCTCTCCCTTGCTAGTTTTTCTTGTGTACTCCCTCAGTAATTGATATGCATCCCAATCCCTGTCTCAGGCTCTGCTTCCAGAGAAACCAGCCTAAGACATAGGATCTTAAAGAAGCATATGTACTTTAAGAAATCACAACCAAGTGCTTTGTAGCTTCCTGAAATACATGTGTATTTTTGTATGTTATAGTAGTCTTGCCTTTGGAGTAAATGCCCCGCTCAAAATTACGTCATTAAGTACTTACTCCTTACCTCTGTCACCAGCAGTGATGTTTGTAATGTGACCCTTTTCTCATCATCAGTTATTTGGACCAGAATGGAACTGTCAGAATCCTTTCTTTTTGGCTGAAGGAAAATAAGAACTTGTGGTTTGATCGGTAACATGCAACTTAGTCACTGTGGGTAAATCATCTTCTTCCTCCAATGTGACTGAGTGGCAGAGAAATCTATGAAGAAAGAATGAAACAGACATATGAAGACGAACACAGGACATAGAGAGCACTCCCATGGTTTCTCCTGCCCTTGAATTGTGAGACACTCTGTATTTATATAATGCATTCCGCCTATTTTGCTTAAGCATGCTCTAATTGGTTTCTGTCACTTAAAATTATGTGAGTTCTTCTTCTTTTTACTGTTTATTTATTTTTGAGAGAGAGACAGCATGAGTAGGGGAGGGGCACAGACACACACACACACACACACACACACACACACACACACACACACAGAATCCAAAGCAGGCTCCAGACTCTGAGTTGTCAGCACAGAGTCTGATGTGGGGCTCGAACTCATGGACCATGAGATCATGACCTGAGCTGAAGTCAGATACTCAACCAACTGAGCCACCCAGGTGCCCCCAAATTAAAAGAGTTCGAATTTATAGTCATCCTTTAAGATTCAGTTTCATTTGGAACAAGGTAAGAATATTCACGATCACCACAATTGTTGCTTAGTGTTATTGCCAAAACATTAGCCAAAATGTTTCAGTAAGAGAAATAATAATTGGAAAAAAGTAAAATTATCCCTATCATAGAAGACATTTCTAAGACATTTTTTTTGTAAACCAAAAAAATCATGACAATCAATTTTTGACACTATTGCAAATAATGAGATAATTCAGCTAGGTGGCTGTGTTTGAAATTAATATATAAAAATTAGTAGCTCTCAAGAAACAAATGACAGATATAAAAGACATAATGGAAGAAAATACTCCATTTATTAAAGAAAAAATATCTTAGGAGTAAACTGAGCAAGAAACACATAAGAGATATATAACATAAATGTAAAAACATAATCAACAAACATAAAAGACTTGAACAAGTAAACCAACATACCATTACGTTGGAAGGAAGGTTCAAAACCATTAAAGTCATCAATTCTTCCTAAATTAATTTATAAACCAATATTATCCCAATAAAAATACCAACAGGATTTTTCCAGCTTTATTGATCTATAATTAATATATAAGATTGTGTAAGTTTAAGATCTACAATGTGATGATTTGATATATGTATATATTGTAAAGTGGATACCATAGCAGTGTTAATTAATACGTCTATCACCTCACACAATTACCATTTTGTGTGTGTGTGAGTAGTGAGAACATTTAATATCTACTTTTAGCAACTTTAAAGTATACAATACAGTATTGTGAACGAACAGGATTTTTTCTGAACTGTGCAAGATGGTTTTAAAATTAATATAGAAAAATAAGCTGTCAGTATAGCTAGAAGAACTCTGGAAAGGAAGAGTAATGAAAGACATTCACCTACCAGATTTAAAACATATTACAGGGGCGCCTGGGTGGCGCAGTCGGTTAAGCGTCCGACTTCAGCCAGGTCACGATCTCACGGTCCGTGAGTTCGAGCCCCGCGTCAGGCTCTGGGCTGATGGCTCGGAGCCTGGAGCCTGTTTCTGATTCTGTGTCTCCCTCTCTCTCTGCCCCTCCCCCATTCATGCTCTGTCTCTCTCTGTCCCAAAAAATAAATAAACGTTGAAAAAAAAATTAAAAAAAAAATTAAACATATTACAAGGTATAATAATTAAAACAGTGTAGCACTGGCACATGAACAGTCAGTAAAATCGGTGGAAAAATGGAAAGCATAAAAGTTGACTCATAAGAGTTTAGTATATGATTAAAGTGGCATCTTGCACCAGTGGGGATGGTGTGGGGAGATAAGATAGTATTTGATTAACCTGGAAAAAAAGGAACTATACTTTTTACCTTGCATCATGAGAAATTAAAAATTAATCAAAAATTTAAGTGTAAAAATAGAACTATGAAAACATTAGTCTTATATGTTTATAAGAATTATATTTTTTATTATTATCATTATTATTATTATTTTGAGAGAGAGACAGATTATGAGCAGGGAGGGGCACAGAGAGAGGGAGACAGAATCCTAAGCAGGCTTCAGGCTGTCAGCACAGAGCCCAACAAGGGGCTCAAACTCATGAACCGCTAGATCATGACCTGAGCCAAAGTTGGATGCTCAACCAGCTGAGCTACCCAGGCGCCCCTATAAGAAGTTTTAAAAATCACCTTCAGTGATAAGATCTTTCTATGACAAAAAATACTGAATCCATTAAATAAAACATTGATAAATTCAACTATAGTTTAAAAAATCTGCATGGAAAAACCCACTTGATATAAAGGCAAGGACAAAGTGAGGAGATATTTGGAACTATTACAGATAAAGGTTAATTTCCTTAATATATAAAGAGTACCTAGGGCACTTGGGTGGCTCAGTTGGTTGGTGCCCAACTTTGGCTCAGGTCATGATCTTGCGGTTTGTGAGTTCAAGCCCTACATTGGGCTCACAGCTGTCCATGCAGAGCCCCTTTCAGATCCTCTGTCCCCCTCTCTCTACTGCTACCCTGCTTGCGCTCTCTCAAAAATAAATAAAACATTAAAAAAAAGAATACCTACACATCAATAAGGAAATGACAAAAAAAATCAGTAGAAAAATGAATAGATGATATAAACAGTTTACAGAAAAGGAAATACAAATGGCTTTCAAATATTATATATGCTTAACTCATAATAGGAGGAAGTGTAAATTAAACTATAACATGATTCTATTTTTTACCAGGAAATTGGAAAAGATCCAAAAGGTTGATTACATACTCTTGCTAAGTCTGTAGTCATATTTTGCTATAGGGAGTATATTTTGGTATAATTCCAAATAAAGGGAAATTTGGAAATATATTTTAAAGTATAAATGCACATGTTTTTGACATACCAGTGTTATTCATAGAACTTTATCCTTGCAAATATATATGCCTATTTGCAAAATGACATAGGTACAACATTATTT